CCTCCCCTCCCGCGCTAGCCTAAGGGCCACCTTAGCAAAGCGCATCCCAGGCTGCATAGCCGCACTACCCTACCCAACCATACCACACATAAACATGATACCATCCCCGGGGTTTTCACAGACGAGCCGGCGAAGCAAGAAGAACGCCAGAAGAAAGGGCCCTAGCCGGCGGGGCCCAGCCAGGTCAAAAGGAGGTCCCACAAAACGCCTACACCGGCCACATTTGCGGTCGGGATAGACGACGGATGGGGCCCACCTACGAAGGCTGTCCAGGCCTACACGAGATGAGGCAGAATAAAGAGGGATAATCCCCCTCGATCCCAAATCATTGAGGCCAATTTCTAGCCATGGAATAATGGCGCGCGCTTGTGTTGTGATATTCTTCAAGCATATACCCACTAGAGGCAGGCTTCAATGCTAAATGAGCGAACAGACGTGCGAGAGAGAAAGCAAATAAAACAATTAGCTATCTCTCTCACTCCGTAAATTTTATTGGTTGAGAATCAGACCCCGTGATTCACCTACGGCACCTCACATTACGAAGTGAGAGAGATAGCTGGTAATTTTAGATGCTTTCTCTCTCGCACGTCTGTTCGCTCATTTAGCATTGCAGGTCGGCCGCTGCCTCTAGTAGGTATATGCTCGAAGGTGGTATCAGATGTTTAGCTATGCTATGTTCTGTTCTGTGGCTTTAAGTGTTTATGGTGTTTCTGTTTATAGTGATGAAAATTTGGGTTTTCACTGAAAAGATAAAAGTTGATTATCTTTAAAGATTAAGTATTAATCATTAAACATGAAGACATAAAATTATATATAATATTTATTATCTTAAATTCAATTTTCAGTGTATAATTAAATGATGAATTTTGAAGTGTCTTTAACTTGTGTATGCAGGTTATCCTTTGTTTACTCAATGTTCGCAAAACTTTAAACAGAAAAAATATGACGAACCCTCACCAAGAGAGTCGATCCCCTACGGATTATATTGTAAGATCCAATAGTCAACAAATAGAGAATCCTCAGTTTGGTTTAGATATGTGTAAGTAAACAATAGTAGAATTCAAACACCACTAATTGGTTTCTTTATTATGTAGACCACTTCAGGGTTAATAATTTTAAATTCGTGATTGGTTATCATTTGTTGAAAATGTCTCGAAATTTTTTAAATAATCGTATAGGAAATAATTCAAATATTTTAATTTTTTCAGCCCATTCACATAGTATCAATACAATACCTTCTTTAAGAGATTATATCGTATCTGAAGATTTATTAGCTGGACAAAGAACCAATGGGAGGATGTCAAATGTTAGAAGATTCTTCTGTTTATTTGTAACATTTGACTTACTGTTTACGTCACTGATGTGGATAATATGTGTAATGGTATGTTTAAAAAAAATATGTACTTAGGTACCTGCTTAATTAAATTTATTCACCTGTAATACACCAAATTTTTGTTAAGAAAGTCATTTTTACTCAATTTTTCTAAATGTAAAAAGAATAATAAATTTGAAAACTTATTATTATTTCAACAAAAAAAAAATTACTTTCATTGTAAGTATCTTATAATAAATCGGGCACTTATAAATATCATTGTACAATTGTTAGTTTACAATATTGTACAATAACTTGAATTGCATCTGTTATTTTTTCCTCTAAATAAATCCTTTCTTTTAGCTTAATGGTGAATTTATTATTACAGCTTTAAGTGAGCAAGTCATACACTATAACATACATACTTCCTTGTTTGACATAGTTTTAGCTGCTCTTTGTCGATTTGTAGTACTTTTACTTTTTTATGCATTATTATACATAAATCATTGGATTGTGATATCGGTAAGTCTAATTAAAATTGTCTCATTTATTACTTTTCATAGGCACCTTTTGAATAAATCTTCTACTTTCAGATATCAACGGCTTCCACATGTGGATTCTTGATAACAAAAGTTTTCTTTTATGATGTAAGTGTTTATTCAGTTAATGTCAAGGAGTTGATATTTACAACTAGTATTTAAAGCACTATGACTATATTATACACATTTTTTTATAACTGCAGCATGTGAAATTAACTTATAGTATGCTGTATTTATAGTAGTTTTTTTTTTGGTAAATTAAAAAATTAATTACCTCTGATATATCACAGGAGTCCCACTTAAAACAGATTCTTCTGTAGCTCTAGTATTATTATTAATACAAGATAGTGTCTCAAAAAGTTGTTCCAAATCAATATATTCACATTTTAAAATTATTTTTAATTATATAGGGTGTCCCATTCTTTCTGGACGTTACTTAACTTCATCTTTTTAAAAGAAATTCTTGCATTTTCAAATTTCTTATGGTGGATGGTATGTTTAAATAAAAATTAGGCATTTCGAATTATTTACTCTGTTTTCAAAAGAATTAAACTATTTTGAAATCACATATACCTACCAAAAAGAATGGTGTACTTTATCGAGAGGGAAGTCGTTAGCTATAATATGTGCATTAAAATACTCACTTTTGTAATTAGTTACTCGAATATTACTCAAATAATCGAGATAGACCTGAGAGAAAGCGGGAGATAATGCATTCATGTATCATATTTGTGATGTAAATAATTATTTTAATACCCAAGTATTACTGAAGTATTACTCAAATATTACTCAAGCTTGTACACAAATTATTCCTGTGGTTTCCCTTTCGCATAATATACTATAAGAAACTTATATAGATGGTAAGCTTGTACTAAACATTATATTATGTGCCCTATGCAACCAGTTGCCAAATTTAGCATAGGGTTACATTTACAAAATCAAGTTATCCATGTTCCAATACTTAGGACTTCTAACACCTGTAATTACTATACTTTTGTTTGAAAAATTTTTCATGCTTGAACCAGTTGTGAAAACCGTGTCTTATGATTTTTAGTTTCAAATATATTTGATGTATTCAATAATGCTCCAAATGCTATTTAAAAAAATATATAAAATAATTATAAAAAAAATATGACACATAAAACATGTTTATTACAGTAAGTCTTAAATTCAATGGAAATCTCGAAAATGCAATAATATTAATTATCTTTTAAAGGAACTGTTTTGATGTAATTTTTATATTATAGTTATATTTTATTGGCATTATCAGAGTTATGGAAGAATCCATTTGTAAGTGGTTAACGTTTCAGAACTATGCAATTTTTATCATTATTTATATGACTTTGATGTATAAACCAGGCAAATCCAAGTTATGAGTTCTATTTTATTAAAAAATGGTACAAAAATCGGACAAGTTCATTTTGTATTAAAATTAGAATTTTTTGAGCATGGACTTGCCCGATTTTTTTTATTTCTGTCCTTATGTATTTTAGTGGCATATTTCAACCCAACCTGTTTTTGAAGTACTGTTGGTGCTAGCTTCTTTCATTTTGGCTTGGGGTGAGGCATGGTTCCTTGACTTTAGAGTGATACCTCAGGAACTACATGCAAACAGATTTTACATTAGTAAGCAACTCATTGTTTAGATTTATATGTTATCTGTATATTGATAATCTTTTAGCTACTACCGAATCGGAGCGAGCTCCGCTCATCAGAAGTTACGTTCAAGGTCTTCCATCTGTATATACTGAGAGTGTAGGCAATTTTTATTCTCCTCAGGGATCTCCTGAAGGTTCTCTAGATAGATTTGAACAGTCTCCTATTTTAGGTGCATATCCGCCAGTCAGATTTACAAGAGATCAGGTAAATTCCTTTTTTAAGCATGCTTCTTTACAATGTTTTGCCATAACTTCAAATTGTTATCTGCAAAATAGGAAAATGCCTAGCCCAATAAATTCGAAGAAGGTGTAATAGTACTGACTAAATATTAAAAGTTAATAAAAATCGCCAATAAACTATCCAATTTTTTGTCTAATTGGTCCTGAAGTATTCTACTGTTGTAAGTACTCGAAGTTTAAAAAGTTTAAACATCTCTCAGAAGAACACATAAGCGTTTAAATATTTTTTAAGTACTTGTTTTTATTATTATGAACCAAAATCCAGAACCAAACATAAATTGCACTAATTTATATAAAACTGGTTAGTAAAAAATTCAGTGTGAGAGGTCAGGGGACCACAAACAAGAACACTACGAGTAAAATGTTCCAGCTTATTCCTTCCTTCCACAAATAAGATCCACTTCTTATTTGTGGAAGGGCGAAATGGGCGGTGACTATTAGACGCCTTCATTGTAGCCATCTTTCTCTATCGCACGGATTTCTATGACTTACTTTATCGCTCTCACGTAACGGCCGATGAACCATGGAGACTTTCCGACCCTGTAAATGAAAATTGGTACTTGTTCAAACAAATCAAGTGTTTTGAAACGAACACTCAATGAATTTCTAAAATTAATACGTTCACAATACTTATTTTAGTGTTTAAGTTGAAAACTATTATTATGCAAGTATGTTAGTTTATTGTATATAAAATATATATACTTCTCAAGAAAAAGAGCTTCCTACTGTAATACATATGTATTAGATTGTATTTTGAAAGGATAAATAACATTACTCGTCTTTACGAAGTTTTAAAATTGAAATTGAGGGATTTATATTGATGTGAGAATTTAAAATTGTAATTGTGATCTCCCAATTATTTGAATTACAAACTAGAGGATATAAATGTCAATGTTATATCCTCTTTCTTGGATATTCTTGAAGAATCAGTTAATAATGAAGGTATCTCGGATTTTTAAAACCTTATAGTTATTTTAATTTGAATTGTTTTATTTTTCTACGTTTAAACATTTTATTATTGTAGGAAGAAAAGTATAGACTGTTAGCGGCGAAAACTTTGCAAGACGCATGGGACTTATTTCAGAAAAAGGATTGGAAGTTAGTGAAACAAAATGGATTGGATTTTGTTTTCACAAGTACTGATTCTAAAGGGGCAAAAATATTTCGCCTTCAAGTAAGTTTGATTTTAAATTTCATATTTTATTTAAGTGAATTACTACATTTATTTTGGACTTTTGTGTGATAATTTTAGTTAAACTAATTTGATAAGTAATAATATAGGTGTTTAGTTGTTCAGTAAGTAGTGATGACTAAATGGTGGGCATTGAAGAATGTAACTTATCATTTTTGGTCATTTTCAAATTCCAAAAATTAAATTCCTTTGAATTGGTCTTTTGTTATGTATATTGCACATTTCCAATCTGTTTTTGTATTTTATAATATACAGGGTGATTCACAAATGGTGACCAAAAATTAAACCTTGTATTTTTTGGTGAATTTTAAAATAATTTAAAAACTAAATAATTTGAAATTGGGCACATGTAGTTATGTAAACATTGTCCAAAATCTGAGGGGTTTTCCTAAAATTTACATGCTCCAGTGGTGAAGATACAGGGTATCGGTGGCATATTTTTCTAAATAAAATAGTACGCCACTGCCTTATGGTAACAACCATGATATTTTCAGATTTGACTCAATTTTCTACAAATTACTACTCTCTTATGTTTTTCGAAAAAAACCTGATTTTCGAGTAACACTTAAAAACATACTGAAAACACTTTTATGGACTTTAAGAACTCTTTTATATACAAATATATTTTCGTTTATATCATTTAGTTCAAGGGTCGGCAACTGGCGGACCGCGGTCCAGGTCCGGACTGCGGAAGGTAAAATACTGGACCGCCAAAAATTTTTTGAAAGTATAAATTACTCAAATAAATTATTTAAAAAATGGTTTTTACGTTTAAGTGCCAATCTTATCATTTTTTCTATTATTTTACAATTGTGTGAGTGTTTTGAGTTCTTAATTAGTAAGCAGATTAAGTTTGAGTCCTAATTAAAATAAAAGAATAAGAAATATGAATTTTTTTCTGGACCCCGTTCAAAATTTTCAAAAGTATCCGGACCCCACCTAAAATTACTTGCCGACCCCTGATTTAGTTTCTTATTTTATTTTTTGAATTCTGCATTTTGCATAAACGATTAATTTGTGCTTTTTTGCATAGTATTTAAAAATTAAAAAAGCATTAAATCAATCCAAAAAATATTGCAATAAGTCAAGCCAAGACTGACATATTATTTATTTATTTTTTAAGAACTACAAAAAAATAGCAGGCTTATGATTTACAATTTTGATGAAGTTATAGTTTCCCAATATGTGAATAATAATAAAATAGTATTTGAACTTGTTTTTTACTTATATAAATAATGGTGTGCACACCGATAAATCAGCACACTTTGTATATAAATACACACTGGGTGAAGAAAAATCTATTATACATTTCAAGGTTTGAAATTCATAAATTTTCATGACATTCTATTTGAATGTCATGAATATATAAACATTTGACTCAGTTCCTAAATAAAAGTGTTGAAACTGTAAAAAAATATTGTATATAGCAAATATTACCAGTAGAACACCATGTAGATTAGAAAATATCTGCGTGCATTATAATTTCAGGGTCAAATAGACGCATCTCCAAGGTTACTCCTGGATGAACTGTACTTCAGGATACAGGATCTTGCGAAGTGGAACAGTGCAATAAAGGAGTCCCATAAAATACAGGCTATAGATGAACACACTGATATAACTTATAATATTTCCGCTGATGCTGCAAGAGGTTTAGTCACCAGTAGAGATTTTGTTAATTTGCGTCACTGGGCTTATGTAGAGGATTGTTATGTAATTTGTAATGTAAAAACCGAGCATCCTTCACTACCTGTCAGCAAAAAATTTGTTAGGTAATTTGGTTTATTGACGACTTGTGTTTCGCAAGTTATGGGATCTATGTATAGAGAGTGTAACTTTAAATGGGGTTCATATGTATACGGAGGCTACCTTTGCCATCATAAGTTTGTTTTCTCAAATTCCATTCTGAAAACTTTTTCACTTTGTTTTGTATGTAAATTTTTTTAATGTTAGCCATTTCATCTGCTTTAATATAAAAAAGAATATTGTCACTTCGAAATGATGTGTCTCAAAATTCACCCAAGAAATAATTTTTATAGAAAACACGTTTTTAATTAAAAAATTGTAAATTTTTTATTGATTCATAAAGTATACAGTATAGGGTTATGTATGGATAGCATATCGGGCCGCCACGGCGTTGCTGGTACATACACATTTTTATTGAAATTTTCCATGACCGCTTTGCATAAATGCCGCTGACTTTCTCTGATACAATGCATGGGTGGTAGACTTCAAAAAACCCCACAAAAAAAAGTCCAACGGCGTTAAATCGCATGATTGTGCGGCCAATACTGATCACACTGATCACCAAAATGCGAAATACGACCAGGAAATGACTCGTGCAGTAATTGAATTGTTTTTGGAGCTGTATGGCATGTCTTGTGGAAAGCACAAGTTGTCTACATGAATATCTTGCAATTTTGTCACAAAAAACCGGATTATCATGTCACGATAGCGAACACCATTAACTGTTATTGCTTGCCAGCCGCATATTCGAAGAAGAATGGTCCGATCATGCCCCCAACCTAAAATCCGTACCAAACAGTGACACGTGGATGCATTTGTGTCTCAACAGTTACTCGTGGATTTTCTGAACCCCAAATGCGACAATTTTGTCGATTAACGAAGCCATCAAAATGAAAATGAGCCTCATCGCTGAAGATCGTTGAATTTTTCAATTAATCTCTTCGCAGTTGATGAAGTTAAATCACTATTTCGACCATATTTCGTACGAAAATTGCATACTGCAGCTGATAAACCTTCATTATTTTTAAAATATTGCTGAACAATGAAAACGCCTTGTTCTTCCATAGTGCTCCATATTTAATAACCCTAAATCAGCTGTCACGCTGTCTTTTTTTTGGGACACCCGATACAAAAGTACTATGTTTTTACAAAATTATTTTCCAGTTTGCTCTTTGCTACTGTATTAGTTTCATACAATTGATTTATAAAAGTAACAACAGGCAACACCGATCAGCATTCATATAGAATCAAGTTCACGAGTTGCCCAGTAGCATAGACAAGCTTTTAAGTGCAGTTAAAAAATGAATTATACAGGCAAATTCGCTTCTCTCTACAGGGATCTCGGAAACGGTAAGAGATACGAACTAGCTTAAATGGGGGCAAAGTTGCGTAATCAGGATTTTGAAAACTAATCATGTAGTTTTCGAAATATTTGAAAAAAAAAACAAATTTTGGAAATCCATTGTAGTTTCATTTCAGCCTTCGAGGTGATATTGAAAAAAGTAGAACATTTTCTCATGGCAACTTTTTGCCCTCTATCGAAAGGCATAATTAGTTTTTATATGTAACGTTACGTCTTTCCAAGACCATCATCAACTTCATTTTTTAAATACGACCCTATAAATTTTATTACATTTTTTCAAACATTCATGGCCCCCAATACTGTACTGCCTAAATCCGAACCAGATTCAGACATTTTGTCCAAATGTTAATAATGCTTCATTGTAATACGTGATGGTAATAGTTTAAATAACTAGGTGGATTTCACAGGGTCTAACAACATTTAATAATTCAATAAACATAGAAATCTAAATAAAAAATTAGAAAAATTTGGGCCAATACATTGAAAATGAATTTTTCGAGGCAAAACGTCTGAATCTGATTCTGGCCTAGGCAGTAAAGTATTGGGGGTCATAAAGACTTGCAAAAAATGTAATACCATTTATAGGGTCCTATTTAAAAAATTAAGTTGATGATGGTCCTGGAAGGACGAAACGTTACATATAGAAATTGATTATGCTATTCGATAGAGGGCAAAAAGTTGCCATGAGAAAGTGTTCTCCTTTTTTCAAAATCACATCAAGCAAGGCTGAAATGAAACAAAAACGGATTTTTCCAAAATTTCGGCCTTTTTCAAATATTTTGAAAACTAATCAAGTTAACCGTGATTTTTTAGAGGCATAATGTTAGTCTCCTGATTGCGCAACTTTGCCATCATTTAAGCTAGTTCGTAATGTTCGTATCTCTTACCATTTCCGAGATCCCTGCAGTGAGAAGCGAATTCGTAACAGCCTGTATATCAGTTATTTATTTCATTAAAAAATATAAGTATGTATTTTAGAATAGTATTCTTTGCAAACATGTACTCCTAAAAAACTGATCCCCTACTTAAAGTTACACCCGGCATAAGGTGAGCCACTTCATTGTCATTTGTATTTCCTAGAAACTAGAAGAGGTGTTACTCATTTTTTCTCTCAGAATCTAAATATTTTTTTGTGTATTAATATTATCTATAACTATAGAGAGAAGATTTATGTACATAGACCTAATTTTTATGCCATATTAGTCACTTTAATGACGTGTGCTGTGTGCCCATGTCTAATAGTAATTTAAAATGCATCTTCTAATTTCGAAGGAGTGGAAATGTTAAGTGATACACCTGTAAGAATTTATAAAACTATTTTGCAGAGGTGAAAATGGTGTGGGTTGTTGGATAATGGAAACAGTGCGTGATAATCAGAATAAGTGCAATTTTTACTGGATCGTTAACACGGACCTAAAGTTGCGAATACCAGGTCTAATTTTTACTAAAGAAATGTCCGCTATGATGTTTAATTACATGAAAGATTTGCGGCAGCACATCTTGAAGAAGCATGAGACTGAAAGATATGACTGATTCTTGATGCATTTTTATATTTATCTTAGGGTATAACTTTAATTTTTGTGCTTTCATTGAATACCTAATTATAGTTTTTAAAGTTTTGAATTTGGAACCTTGCATAAAATAAAGAATTATTTATATTTCATTTAAATATTTAGATATACAAGGGTTGCCTTTTATATTTCGGGAATAGAGAACAAAGAAATGAATCATCGTATAAGGTTTTATTGTTTTTCAAATTTTTCTCCATGAAGATCAATACACTTCTGCATGCACTTGAACCAATTTTTGACCCTGTAATTTATTTTTAATGTGCTGGAATAAAAAAGCCATTGGGTGCTAAATCAGGGCTGTACGGCAGATGACTCATCAATTTGATTTTATTGGTTCTCAAAATTGTCTCTTGTTTCAACCGATATGTGAGAGCTCGCATTGTCCTAGTGGAGAAAGATGCGTCTTAGGTGGTTGCTTTCCCATATTTTTTCGAAGACTTCTAGCAAACAAATGGTTATGGTTATATACTATTCAGAATTGACTATTTGACGTTGCACTAATGGTACAATTACCACAAATCCTGTTTTTCCAAAAAAAAAAAAAACAGGCAACAATTCGCTTTGAAGTGCTTTTGGTTGGATTTGGCTCATCTTGAAAGACCCATACAGTCGATTACTGTTTACTTTTGGGCTCATATACATAGATCCATGGTTCGTCACCTGTTACGATGTCATTGATGTGTTTTGAAGCACTGCGATTCTAATTCTTTAGCATTTCTTTCGATCATTCGACACGAGCCTTTTTTTGAACCTTTGTCAAATGATGTGAGATCCAGCGTGAACAAATTTTTTTAGTGGCCAAATGTTCATGCATATTCAATGCATGCTGGTCCCACTAATCCTCGAGGATGCCTCAATCTTACGATAACTCACATGACGATCTTGCAATATCATTTGACACACACAGCATCGATGATTTCTGGAACAACAACCAATTTTGGAGGACCGAAATTCATCATTGAACAAACCACGGCCATGATTGAATTCCGTATATCACCGATATACAGTAGTTTCTGATGTGCTATATTGTCAAAAGTCGAATTAAGTTCATTGATGCACTGTTGTTGAGATAATCTTTGCGGAAAGTTGTAAAAATTATCGCATAGAAATGTTCACTACTTAATTTAATTTTTTGGTCAGGATGAATTTTTCAAGTGTAAACAACATAAATAGCGACTGTACATAAAAACGGTCTGCGTAAGTATACCGACAAACTTTATGATAGGGATGTTGGTTGTCAAATGATAGCACCAGGATCGTCCATTCCCGAAATATAAAAGTCAAACCTCGTATAACAAAAATGTTAATAAAGCAAGATAAAAGTAATTTAAATACAACTTTCTAGTACAAAAAACAGGATTTTGACAAAAAAAAATTCAAAGTGAACAACTGATGCGAAACTTGAACTAAAATCTAAAAGTTACGTCAAAATCACCTAGTCATCTAATCTTTTTTGTGCTTGAAAATGCACATAAAACATGTTATAGGTAAGGTCCGAGAATAATTCATACATGACGTAAATACCACAGGCTGATTAAACTGACGTGCGCATTGAGTATCAGTTTATTGAGTATTAGAAGAAATATACAGGGTGATTCAGGTTTAATTTGGATAACTTCAGAAAGTGATAGAACAAGTTATAATAATGTTCATTCATGATATAAACTTATTTCCTAAGTCGCACCGTTTCGGAGATAGAGGGCGTTGAAATAGGAATCTTTTTCCTGTTTTTCCCTCATAACTTTTGAACTTAATAGTACTTTTAACGATGATTTTCACAAACGTCAATTTATACATAGTAGTAGTAGTAGCCTGGCAATTAGGCCACAAGTGGGCCCTTTTTGCCTACCCCGCCGTCCCATCACCTAACCACTCTCTGCCTCTGACCCTCCTCGAACCTACCAGACGCCCTGATGAACGCCAGGATTTTGGTCCATGGAAGGTCTCTCACCTCAACCCCTTGCAGCTCTTTAGCACCAAAGACTTTATGTCTTATTCTCCCAAAGGCTGCACACTGTCCCAGAAGGTGGACAGGGGTGTCCTCCCCTTCGCCACATTTCGGGCATAGAGGGTCCTCCTCAATTCCTATTAAGCTTAAATGCATCCTAAGTCTGCAGTGGCCTGTCAGAACCCTCACCATTTGGTTTAGGGCTCTTCGACCGAAGCTCAGCAGCCATCTCGTCTTGGATTTGCTAGGTCCATGTATAAAACTATGGGCCTGCCTACATCCTCTATTTTTCCTCCAGTTTATACAAATCACTGTGAGTTTTGCTTTTCATGGGTCGCTATAACGTTAAATGAAATTTATGCGGCTGTGGCGCTACCTCGGGCGCTACACTATCACGAATTTTATTGAATACCTCAGAAACAAGGCCAAATATTGAAAAATAAACAAGAGACGATAAAGTTACAAAATTAATAAGGCAAAGGTGGTGTGTAGCTGTTTTATTGAAATTAATTAATTTTTTGAAAGTTTTGAAATAATATGAGTGGGTAGCACACAAAATACACTTCTAAGAGGGGTAAGTGGTTCAAACTTACGGAGCTTATGTAAGACATAAGGAATGTTTGTGTTCCGAATTTCACTTCAATCGAATGATGGGAAAAAAATTCCTATTTCAACGCCCTCTATCTCCAAAACGGTGTGATTTAGAAAATATGTTTAAATCGTGAATTATTTTAACCTGTTCCATCGATTCCTGAAGTTATCCAGATTAACCTGAATCACCCTGTATACATATACAGGGTGTTTATTAAGTACTTGTATAAATTTTAAAGGGTGAATCTATTTTTAAGATAAAAATTTCATATGGACATGGGTCCGCAACTGCTTAATTCTTGAGATACAAAGCACCCAAAAAAATTTTATTTATAGAAATAATTTAGTCTTGATCTTGTAAATGATCTAAGTTGGTCACATGGCAATACAATCAATAAAAGACATGTTTTACTTGTCTTTTTATTGTTTTCAAAAACTCTTAATGATTCAACATTTGTATAAGTACTTAATAAACACCCTGTACTTGACTTTATAGAGTATTAACTTAAAAGTTATATAATTTTTTGTATTTGCAACCTGATAAATAAAAGACTTATGACATACATTGACTTTAATAAAAAGAAAACATTTACAATTTTTTTATGTGACAAACAAAAATTTCACTTCTGTTTAAATTATCACATAGATACAACTCCCACTGCCGTTAATATGGTCTCATAAAAGTGAAAAATCACTTACCAAACTGATATATAAAAAAAATTATTTTTATAGAATCTAGGATAATAAAAGCAATAAATATTTCATAAAACCTACTGAACTTCATATTAGTCGTTTCTAGAGTTAAAATTAATTATTATTAATTATATTTATAATATTATTAATTATTAGACATTTACGATTAAAATTTTAACATTTGTCTCCAAAAATCAATTTAAACGAGGAGTTTAACCAACTACTACAGGAATAGCAGAAGAATATTTAAAGTATGTAAGTTTTTCAAATTGTTTTTTATTTTCTCTAACCCTTGGCATTTATAAATTTCTGTTATCAAAATCTAATTCAAGAAGATCATTGACTTATTATTCAACTTGAATCTTAACTTTTTAAATTTTTCCTTACCAGTCGTTTTTGTATTTAAAATTATACTTCTGTAAAATAGCATATATTAAAATTATGAACATAAAAATGTATGATTTACTCTTGGACCTTAGTTATTAGAAAAAATTTGAGAAAAGTTTTATTTGTCATAAGATTGTTGATTATATGTGCTACTAGAATATTTTTATTAGTGTATAAATGGTGTATAAATTAAAACAGATTTTCAGGTCACCCAAAGATTTTAAATTACTTCTATATAACTTTTCCTATCAATTAAAAAAATGCACAAGCTTTATATTTATTCAACTATGATTACGATAAATAAGTAAATTTCAAAATCACTTCGTGCTCATTCCTTCCCATTATTATACAGGATGTTGTAGTATTCCACAACAACAAAATTCTACACTGACTAAAAATATTTTTATTTTTAGTTATTCTCGTTCTCATTTTTAGAGGGTGATACTTTTTTTTTGGACCCATGACTTCTATCCAAATTTCTCTGTTGCGACAACACCGACTATTTTAAAAAAGAATCTATTTTATCCTTTATCTTTTTTTCCTAATTTTTTTATTTACAATTCTGTCAGTAGAATATTGTATTTTCTTTATTCTACAGAAAGTTAAATGCTGGAAGTTGCGTAAGCGTGTTAGAATTCAATAAAAATGTACAGTGCCTGCCAAAAAGTTTGCGGTACATTTTTCAGATTTAATTTTATTGATGAAAAAAAGGAAGTTATATTGCTCCTACATTCCTTTCATAAGATATTTAAAAAATTACAGAATAATAAGGAAACATAATAAAATTCAGTAATCTAACGCTGTCTGGAATGGAAGGACGTTTGAAACTTTCAGTTCCCGTAGGATATTTTATGTTGTATAAAAAAGTTTCTATGGTCAAAAAGCTTCCTCCTAAGATGAATATGGAGAACCACTGTCTTTTACATCCATGATATATTCAGTTTTCCTTTTATATTCAAATAGCCGCAACTATTTTCCTAACTTGTGGCAGAACAATCCATTTTTTTAGAGATCTAATCTCATTGACAATTAAATTTGGTGACAAATGAAATCAGTTAGTCCAATTAGTTAAAAATTCAGTTTTTGCAACATCACTGTTTTGGAGGATGAAAGGTAATCCAGAAAATAATTATTGAATAATTATGTGTTTAACATAAGTACATACCACAAATTAGGTACTATTTTTTCCTGCAGTGCGTTTTTGTTTGAATTACTGTGAAATTTATTATAAACTTTGAAAATGCACCAAAAATTAAATTTTTTAGTGACTGAGCTAACAATGTCTAGATAAAATGTACACAAGATTTAGATGTTTAAAAAAATGGAATGTCAAAACGCAAACTAGGAAAATAAGATGAAAAATGTAGTTTTTAGAAGTTTTTCATATTTATCGCAGTAAGGAAGCTTATGGAACCCTAATATCATCCCATTTGTTCAATGTAAAATTTCCTTTACGGGACATCCCTATATAATGGAAAACTTTTATAAAAAAAATTGGACAGTAGTTATGGTGCATTGTGGTGCTTTGAATTTGAATTCTTTATTTTTACCATGTTAATCTAAAATAATTATATATAATGAGTGTAGATTAATTCATTCAAAGCATAAATCAAAAATCCGATTAAAAAATTCATAAATTGTTGGTGTCATCTACAATAAGATACAAAATAGAACATATACAAGACATATAGATTTATATTTAAATATATTTTTTACGCACTATTCATAATGTATCGATATAGAAAATTGGGATCAATTAAAATCTTAAGATAGAATTTATCAAATCAAAATTACATATTTTAATTGATCCCATCTCTAATATAAGAATTTTTGAAGTAATATTATATTACCTATAAAACAAATTGTAAAATTGACTGTGATTTTTAAGAAAAGTGAGGTTTATGTTGCTTTTTTTTATTATAAAGGAGTGTGTTTGAAAATACCTATAATATATTGTTTGTTTTATTATCACCAAAAATAAATTTTTAAATATAATTAAGTGTGAGATTTATTAAAATTGTATGTGGTACAACATTACTACTAAGCTGTGATAAGTAAATAATCCTTAATTGTTTGATGCAATATTCTCAAAATATGCGAAATTGTTAAAGACCTCTTCAAATGATGAATTACATATACAAAACAATTAAAGGTACTGTGAGGGATTTATATAGGTCAGTTGTCTACCTTCTGTCAAAGCCCCGCGCTGGGCGCCATCATGCGGATCTTGCTCAATGTGGCTAGCTTGCAGTGGAGTTGACCTACTTTCAGCTTCCTTCAGCATATTGAGAGGGTCGTAAACCCTCCTAAGGACTGTACCTATTTGGGTCCGTTTTCACCTGCAGTGCTGGAACGTTAGTCTACTGTCTGAAAATCACTGTCTGCACTGGTTAGAAGCACTATAGTACACGGCTTCCTTGGAGTGCCTGTATGTTAAGCTTTAGGAGCTTGTGAATATTGCAATGTGAAAGCTGTGTATTTGAGCATTGCACTGGGGTTGGTAATTTTTAGTAGAGTTATCTCTCGAAACACAATTTAAAAATTTAAAGGCTATTGATTTTCTTAGTGGTAATATAGAGTATGCATGCGGTGGTTGCAGTACAAATTCTTAAGTCATCATCCGAAGGAACTGAGGACTCTTGACGACCATCTTCTCATCCGGGAGGCTCGGTGAGTGAATGTTAGAAACATATCAGTGATTTTTTATCTTCGTGGTTTAGAAGCGCGCAGCGTTCGGTCGCACGTTTGTCTATATCGTCTTGGATGTCTCTGGAACGATCTGACAGCAATCGCGACGTCTGCGGAGCATCGCGGTTGGAAAGATCGGCGAAAAGTAAACGAATTTTGTTTTGTGTTGGCAGAGCTGCTCTGTGTTTTTTATTCCTATTTTACGACGGAATTGCGCAATATGGGTTTCTTTTGTAGAATTATTGCGGTTATTCAAAACATACTACATACAGGGTGTTCCTAAATAAGTGTCGCAACGGAAAACTGTAAATTCCTCTTGAAAAAGGAAACATTCTTTTCCTCTTCCATTCTTTTTTTCGGGTTTTCGTTTTCGAGATACACGGTGTCGAAATTTTCATTTTTTTTTAATTTTTTTGCCAATATCTTAGGAACCGTTCGAACTACGGGACTGAGTTTTTGTACACCCATTACCATTACCACTATTGTTAGCTACTTTTTCGCACCCATCTCGAATTCATTGAACATGCTGCCAGTGGTGGAGATTTTAAGGTATCTTCAGGGTTTTCCCCCCCTAACTTTTACACCACTGGAAAAATTGACATGTGGCAGCAAATTCTGAAGCGCCAATGAATTTTACACAAAAAGAGTTCTCTTGGTTCATTGCTCTAAAGTCAACCGTTTTCAAGAAAAATTACTGAACAAAAACAAACATTTTGCTAACGTTTTGAAAATCTTTTGTGATTCAAAAGATAGGTAGTAATAATTAACAATTTTAACGAAATTTAGCAACATTTGCAACAAGTAGCTATTAATAGTGGTAATGTATGTACAAAAGCTCAGTCCCGTAGTTCAAACGGTTCCTGAGTTATTGGCAAAAATCTGAAAAAAAGTTTTGACACCATGTATCGCGAAAACGAAAGCCCGGAGAGAAAAATGGAAGAGGAAAAATATGTCTCTTTTCAAGAGGAATTTACAGTTTTCCGTTGCGACACATATTTAGGAACACCCTGTATGACTGAAATAATTTTATTGTTATTTATCAGCACAAGAAGTATTATAAAAAAAAATTCAAAATACCATCATATATACTTAATGAAGGCAAAAATTGTATTTCCGTTCTGTTTTCAGTGTTTTCTACTGCTTTGAAATCAAAAGTAAAAGGATTTGTATAGCACTGCCTCATTTTTGACACATGCATTGTGTAACTAGCACCATGTATAATTGTAAATCTATATAAACATATCAGTTTTACAAATTGCCAATTTGTATTAAAACGGTAAAAACTATATAAAAAATAATTAAGAACAAAATTTTATATTTCCAAAAATATCAGAAAAATATTATTTCTTTCAGTGGCTTGCCATATAATTATTCAGAAAAATGTAATATAGCCTGCATACATACTCATATCTACACCAACAGTTTTTTCCCATTTAATATTTTCTTGTATTATGCACACAAAAACTGTATGGTAAGATTTTGAATGTTTTGAAATTATTTAAAAAATCATCCCTTTAAACAAGATTTATCCAACTTGCACGAAGAAAATAATACAATAACATATGTATAATGCTCTTTATTTCTACATTTATAATTATTTAAACAAAGTAATCAAAAGCTACACTAATATTTATTGTCTTGGTCCAGTCCAGAATGCTATAGAAAAGTTCTATTTTTCTTGAGTAATGGGAAACCAGGATTGGCATGCTTCATTGGCTATTTCACACATTGCAGAGAGAGCTTTACTGGCACTGTCATACTCTGAAAAAATTATTCAAAATTATCAGAAAAAATTAAATTGTGTAACCAACCCTAAAAAATAATAACATTGGAAGGTCAATCTTTTTTCCTATCATTAACAAATGCATTAAAGAGTTGAAAAATTGTATAATAAGTGTAATAAAAAGTTCAATTTTCTTCACGTATTTTTGCAGGAAATTAAAAAATGGTACTTAGTATCCAATTTTAAATTTAAGAATTTTCATTTTGGCCCCTGAAACTCCTCTTTTAATTTTATAACGAAACAGAAAAAAAACAAAAAAAATATTGTATGCGCGTATGTGTAATAAATCCCTCTAATTGTTATACTTGCCAGTGTTGGAACCAGTTCTTTTTCCAAAAATGGATCCATTAAATGGTGGTTTTCTGTAGGTAGCTTCAGTTACAGTCATAATTGCACAAATAAAGGCAACAGCAACACAGAAGATTGTCACAGTCTTTCCAAAATAGCCTGACATTTTTTATGATCTGTAAAACTACAATGTATTTTCAAAATTGAAGCAATTTTTCGCGTTTTATTTATTAAAAAAGAATAAATATAAACTTGTCCTACCTCTTGTCCTCAGAGAACCTCTCAAGGTGTGAAGATGTTTGGAACTGATTTTCAATGAAAAATAACAGGCCTTTTATACATAGTTTCCCAACCGACGTAACAGTTGATTACCTTTAAAACTAATTACGATTCCATTTAGTGAATTTTGCCGGTGCGATTTTGAAGATAATTCAATAACAATATTCCTGCACTTCCCCTGGGAACGCTGCACAATTTGGTGGCTTGTCTAATGTTATTTCTCTCAAAACGAATGAAATTACCACCCATATTCTGTTTTCAACCCTCATAAATTGTTCACTTTCTCGTGTGGGATAGAATTACATTAACAAGATATTAAAAATATCTTCTACAATATAAAAAGTTCATTAATAATTTTATTGCAATACCTACCCAGGATTGAATATGATATGGGACGTTACTCCACTGTTGAAATTTAACAGAAGCATTTTTAATGTTTTTAAGTAGGCCTTAAGGTGGCCATATTCCTGGCCGAGAAATAGTGAAATTTCTGTCGTTTTTAGGTACTGAAATCTTTAAAAGTAAAACGTGTAGAACAAAAGTAAGCACAAAAATAAAATCCTTGATGTTTTGTTTATTCATTGTTACCATTTAAAATTACTCAAATAAAATAATAACTAAAAAAAAATCGTTTGTAAAACATGCGTCTTTGAAAATACTTAGGTGGCATGACATAACATTCCTATTATTTGATATGCTTTAGATTATTCAGTTATTAAATGTTTGAAATTATTTGTCTTTGCGGAAAACACTATTTAAAGAATATGGGGCCCTTAAATACAGCGACAAATACAAAAGTACATTACAGGGTATGTATTTTTTGAAAAAATATGTATGTATAGTGTAGATAAATAAGACATATGTATCATAGATTAATACAGAAAATATATATCAATAGAGCATATAACATAAGTTTCGATGTGTACAAATTTATTTCAACCTCTTTTTTTTTTTTGAGGCACTATTTCGTATTTTTATAATTATCAAAACTGCAGAGGAATACCTACGCCTTGAGTCACTCAACTTGAGTGAGACATCTCCATCAGATTGCTGTTAAATGATGTTATTTATTCAAAAATATTTTTAAAAATACGTTTTATTCGGAAAAGTTCAGGTTTGCGAAAAAACCATGATACATTTTTTATTGTAAAAATGATGAACACATTATACAGTTTACCGTTTTAACATCGGCTCCTTTGATCTTTGAACTATTGCGCATCTAAAATTAAAGGCTCGGCGCAATATACAGGGTGTTATGCACCCGAATAAAAGTAGTAGTGCACACTGCAATTATAATTAAGTATGTACAATAAATTCAACACATGATTATTCGAGAGATTTTAAGACAAAAAGTTCATATAAACATTGGTCCGCAGAATTTGGCAGTTATTTGTAATATTAAAGGGGCTAATTTAACCCTAACTTGATTAGATTTGCACCTTAACGAATATTTTTAATAATAATAATAATAATAATAATAATATGTCTTTATTCTCTACAATAACAATGAAATTATAAAAACAAACAAAAGACGGCGAGATTCAACAGAGTTGCTCTTCCATCTAACCGCCTAACACGTTAAAGTGTGTGTGTAACATAAACAATATCATAAACACATATGTCCACCCACACACAGGCGTGAACTCAATGCTAGACAGCGAATAATATCAAAAGCTAAATTATATATAAAAAAAAAAGAAAAAATTAAATTCTCCTCTCAAATATACTGGCCTTGACCTGTCTTCTAAAACTGATAAAGTTACTAGCTGATTTAACTGTAGGAGGTAGGTTGTTATAAATATGTACAGCGTTGTAAGAGAAAGATCTGCGAAATAGAGCAGAGGCATGCATAGGTACGACATAAAGGTCTTTGTAACGAGTTGAACGGCTATGGACATCACTACATTTAATTAATTTTTTGAATAAATATTTGGGTCTTTTAGACTTATTAAGCTTAAACACCAAACATGCCATGTGCAGCTGGAAACGCTCATTTAAATTAAGCCACTTAGACTGTTTAAATGTGTCACTAATGTGGTCATATTTTCGTAATCCATAGGAAAATCTGATACATGCATTCTGCACCTTCTGCAGGCTTTCTTTATCTTTATTCAAAATAGCGGGCCAATAGACTGTGTCACAGTAAGCAATATTACTAAGAATTAGGGAATCACATAATTTTAATTTTACATCTACTGTTAAGTAATCTTTGTGAACATAAAGGGATCGCAATTTAGCATAAGATTTTTGCAATAAAAAATTAACGTGTGTGGAAAACCTAAGATCTCGATCAAAATACACTCCTAAGTTTTTACAGTCATTACTAGGATTCAGAATTGTTCCATTAACAGAAATTTTAAAACGAAAATCATTCGATATTAAATCTTTATTCTTACCAACAACGAGAAGCTGCGTTTTCGTTCCGTTTAAAACTAAACCATGTGCTTGAGACAATATTAAGATATTATTTAAATCACTATTTATTTTTTGAACTGAATTATCCAGGTCACCCAGTGGAAAACGAAAATATAATTGAAAATCATCAGCATATTGATGCGAATGGGCATTTCTAACCGCACCCGGTAGGTCTGCAGTATAGATTGAAAACAGCAAGGGACCAAGCACACTACCCTGTGGGACTCCCACAGTAATATTAATTAAAGTGGAAAAATTTCCACTAACAACAACTTTTTGACGTCTACCTGACAAATAATTCTCAAAAAAGTTAACAACTCTGTGATCAAGTCCAAAATATTTAAGTTTACAGCATAAAGTAGCATGGTGAATAGTATCGAAAGCCTTGCTATAATCAAGCAACACAAGACACGCATTTTCATTATTATCATAAGCTCTATATAACTCATCCGACACATGTAATAGAGCAGTAGAAGTACTATGATGCGTTCGAAATCCTGACTGCGTTGATGGTAGAACGTCAAATTTGTCCAAAAAGTGAGCCAGCTGTTCATGAACAACCTTTTCCAAAATTTTTGAAAAGGTACAGAGTATGCTAATGGGACGAAAATGTGTTAAATCAGAGGGTTCTGAATTCTTAGGTATAGGGATGACTACAGCATCCTTCCAACAAGATGGAAAAGTAGCGGAGTTCAAGCATTCATTTATAATAAAAGTAATATGATTGAGTAACTGAGGTATAATCAAATTTATCATCTTGCAATTAATTCCATCAACTCCTTTCGCATTAGATTTGATAGTGTTAAGAATTTCCAGTACCCTCTGTGGCGAAACATTATTAAATTTAAATTTTTCGGATATATTAGGCGCTAATTTACCCCTGTAGGTATCAGCAATATAATCATTGTCAACAATAACCGCTGGTAACTTGTTCACAAAAAAGTCATTAAATTCCTGAGCGCTTGCAATAAACTGGGAAGAATGTGAATTGTTGCTATGGACATTAAGAGATTTCAAGGTCTTCCAAAAAGCTCTAGAATCAGTTGCAAACTTATGCTGTAAATACCCTCTCTTTTCAGATTTAATAGCTGTGTTTACAAAATTCCTAAGATCTTTGTACTCTTGCCAATTAACCTCAGATTTAAATTTTTTATATTTTAAATATGCACTATCTCTTAACCGCATCATTAATTTAAGATTTGGCGTAAGCCAAGGAGCCGGAGGTTTAGATATTCTTATGGTTTTAAAAGGCGCGTGCATATCAAATAAAAACAAAACTTTATCATTAAAATAATCAACCATTTCATCAACATTATGTAAGAGGTATATGTAATCAAAATTAATTAAATTCAAGTCCCGATTAAAGCTAACGTAGTCAAAATTAGAAAAATCACGGAATGTTCTATATTCCGGCAGTTGTTTAGTAATATTAATGTTTAAATGTGTAATTTAATAATGTGTCTTGTGTGGTTCAGATATATGCAATTAGGTGGATTTTATTTTTTTTCTCAAAAATTAATCAAAATGCGAAAAACATTTAAGAGACAAAAAAATATTTTTTCTACAAAACTGTTAAAAGTGGCCTTTTTAATTGTCATTTTTGATGTTAAAAATGTCATTTTTCGACACGCGTGTTAAAAGCAAGTTACTTTTAACACTGTATGATATACGTGTTAACAGTGATTTTATTTTGTTCGAGAAGTTAAAAAACTCGCTACGCTCGTTTTTTAATCATCTTCACTCACAAAATAAAATCTTACTTTTAACACGTATATCATAAATAGCTATTTATTAGTTGTTTAATGTTTAATCCAAAAAAAAAATATAAAAATTACAAAAAAGTCAGTGACGTCCATTTTTTTTTGTTCAAAATATTCTAATTATTTATTTAGATTCACCCTGTATATTTACAGAGTGCAGAGAGTGTTAATTCTTTTTTGTAATATATTTAATTGATATATGAGATCAAAAAAAATCTTGTCTTATCAATCGAGAAGAAAACAAACAATTTTTAAAAATGGAACACATATTCTAATTAAGTGTCCATTGACCAGTGGTTAACCACTATTCTGATGTACGTTTAAATCTATGAATATTCTCAGAAATAGTTAAAGATGTGACACTTTCTAACATTTTTTTTATTTTGTAAAATGATATACTTACTCCATCTTATATATATATTCATTTTGGCTTAACAAGAAACATAATAAAAAATATATTTAAAATTAAACAGACCAGAGAGCACCCTATATCTTTTTAAATAATCGTTTTGGTGTTAAAGGTATAGTTAAAATATATTGTTTTGTTTTAGCCAGAAGTTTCAGTTGAATTTTTTAAACATTATTTATTTCATTCATCACATATCACTCACTCATCTCATACATCGTACAATATTTGTCTAGGCGTTAAACTTCTATATATGTACTTCCTATCGTACGCGAATTGTATATTTACATAAAAAAATGTGTAGTGTCCTAATACTCCCCATAATAATAGTACCTAACAATAATAATTTTCCATATCAGCGATAGGAAAAGTCAAAAGTAAGGCTGATCGTGGTTAGTACTTGGATAATGGGTGACCATCCAGATTAAGCTCACGATGCTCGCCCACCTTCTAAGCCTAAACTGTTGGCCGAGTGGCCTGTATGTCGGTGTATTCACAGAAGCTATACAAATTTAGGCGAAGTTTGTATAAAAAGATATACCATCCCCTCGGAAAGGATAAGCTGTTGATCCCTTGTCTAAACAATGTTAGGCAAGTAAAAGATCCTTACTCTAGGCTAGGACAAAGTGGGAATTCGGAAATATTTCCATGTTGGGAGTTGCTCGTCTCGTGGCGGCGTCGGTGTTTATCCATAGTAACAGATAGAAATAGGTCCATGTAAAATAACCAAAAAAAAATTGTTTATTTTCTTTAAAACAATACTATAATTGTATTGGAACAGTCGCAACCAGTCCGATATTTCGTAGACCAAAAAATATATATCTAAATTTTATAAAAATTGTGTATTACTATATACACATTAGGCACAGAAATTATGGGATAAAAAAATTCAAAATTTTGGGTGATTTTCAAAGAGCTGTAACTTGGAGGGAAACGCTCGTAGAGAGAATAAAAAAAAATAAATTGAAGCTTCAAGTGTCTAGTTTTCGGATCTGGAGTTTAAAATTTTTTAGCGTAAGCAGAGTAATTATAAGAAAATTAACGAAAAAAAAATGAAAGTTTTTGCTTTTCTTTAAAAAGGCCTATGGACTTCAAAAATTTCTTTTTGATAATTTCACCATAATTAGATAATTTAATTCTCTTCAATTTGAGCGATTCCGGAGCCCTGTACGATGATTTGCCGCCGTTATCATCGATCAAAGCAAAAAAATAATTTTTGACTGACAATAAATTACTCGTGAAATAATGGTCGCACAGAAAATCCAAGCAGGGTTTTTAAAACTGCAAAGTATTCTCTACAAGTCGTAGATAATTATTGGTTCTTATTAAAAAAATGTTTTCGAAGTGAAAATGTTGGTTAGAAAAAAAGTAAAAAATTGCATAATTACAGATATTTGAATAACTGGGCATGACATTGCAAATAATGAATAAATTAAGGATATTGACTGTAACTTTTCAACAAAGTGTCCTAAAGAAACCTTGAATAATTTCAAAACGTTGCGATTTTTCTTTTTTTTTTAGTGCCTCGAATGTTTAAATTTGTCGTTTTGGTGAAATTACCAAAAAAAAAAAATAAGTTCATAGGCGTTTTTAAGAAGCAAAAATTTGCAATTTTTTTTTGAGCTCTGAATATCACCCAAAATTTTGGAATTTTTTTTATATCCCTTAATTTCTGTGCCTAGTGTATTTATAAATTCTGAAATTTCAAGTGACAAATAATAAATCCTTATTCTTATTTTTATAAGAAAAAATTTCCAAATAAGTATGTGTCCGGAAACGCTTCGTTTTTAAAATATACCTACCTTATATTTTAAATTCGAAAAAAATGACACAGTAGATACGTTAAACACTTTCGAAGATGTTTTTGAAAATGCGAATTTTTTTCTCGTAAACGAAGCTTTTCCAAGCACGTGTGGAAAATTTTTTCTAATTTTTTTTTTCAAAGAATTTTCACTATAATTGAAATTATTCTTTATACAAATGGAGCAGCAATTCAAAGCAATTTTTTTGATGCCAAAAATTTTGGAAAGTGGTTCACGAGAACTCTAAACAACTTTTTTAATACAAACAATTTTTAACACTATAATTTGTGCTTCAAAATATATTTTTTAAAGAACTAGTTACATTTTCTCAAAATTACTTTTGGGTCATAGGAAGTTTCTTAGAGGATGGAAAATCCAACCGTCATGCATTATATTTTCTATTCATTAAAATAACTTGAGCAAGTCACTTACCTAATCTGCTAGATTCATATAAATCCAGTCCATATCATCCAGTAATGGAGATACGGCGAATTATTACCTCTAAGAACCCCAGAAATTCGACGCGACGCCTCTGGATATCGGAAAATTCAATCGCTACTTTTAATTCCTAGCAGTATTTCTGAGAAATTTTTTATGTACTTTATTTAAAAATGGACTATTCTCGATTACTGTTTTGGTTTTTTTTTATCAAATATATTAATTTAATTTAAACTAACTCTAGAACTGTATTTTCACAAAAGAAATTTGTTACAAATACAATTTAAGCACTTTCTGTTAAGAATTTTTCATTTATTGTAGCTTATATATTTAATCTCTTGAAAATCCATTGTAATACTGAGTGACAGTAGATGTTATGTAGTAAATTAAGTCCTTTTCAATTCAGTAATTGAGGATCGACATTTGTGTCCTCAATCTGTCACGATGACAAATTTTTTTTAATATATACTAATATTTTCTTTTTTAAACAAAATAACATTATTTATTAATTGCAACAATTTATTTCCTACGACTGTAATTTTTTTGTTCACCTGACGGTGGCATAATAGTCGAAACTAGTAGGATAAAAAAATTAAACATTTTTATTCTAAATTAAAACGGACACTAATTTACTGCATTCTATCTAAATATTTATTGTTGTTCAAAATGGAAAATAATATACTATCTTATATTAATATTTATTTACAATAATAGCTAATAACATAGCTGAACTACCCCAATTTATACTGCATAAAATGAAAATATGACAGTGATGTCTACCACAGGAAAATGTAACGGGATCCATATTTAGCTTCTGGCCGTGGTGTATCATCTGGTGGAGGTAGACCAGGTGTAGCATCCTCGTAGACAGTAGGTCCCTCTACTGGAGGCCTAGGTCTTGCTGTTTTGTGCACATGAGCACGAGCAAAATAGTCATATGGTGGTCGATCTAATCCTAAATTATCTTTAATGCATTTATCAAAGACAGCTTGTGTTTTACGGCATCTGAAATTAAATCAAATCAATCACCTGTTTTCCAAGAATTCTCTGTATTCTCGTTTATTAGAACAGATATAAAAGCAGTCATACATTAGCGATTTATTTTAACATGAATCAATAATATAATTGAAGGAAAATATTTCTATGGTGTGAATTGCAATATTTTCAGCATAAGAACTGTACCATGTTTTCCAGTTACTTTCCCAAAATAGATACTTCTCTTTTTGTTGTTTTAATTACTTAATGACTAATTCAGTGGTCCTAAATAACATGAGAATAGAAAGCAATTAACGAATATAAATATTATTTACTTTTCATTCACACATTTTTTATAAAATTATATTTTTTTAACTTTAAACTGCAACCAAGACATAATTTTAAAAGCTGCTGTGCTTACGGTGTAAACTGTTGATCTGGGCTAGATTTATCCAGACAATTGACATACTGCGTAAATTCACCAGCACAAGTTTTCTTTATTTTCCTAAAAAAATTTAAAGCACAATTTGTTACTGCCTTTCCTTCATTAATGCACGCTCTCGGATCTTTTAATTCTGTCCTACATAATACAAACTCCTAAAAATATATATTTTTACATTAATGACATTGATTAGGTAACAAATAACCTCACATTATTTTCAAATTCGCAGGCTTTTCCTAAATGAAATGCACCTGCTTTCAATGCTGGTCCGGATAAAGGAACTTCTTGGACTGTTAAGTCTTCTTCAGTAGGTAATGTTACATCTTCAGTTATACCCATTTTTTATTCAAAATAAAACTTATTTTTTTTATTTCCGATCCCCAGCTGTCAACTGACAGAAGAGGTCAACGACGTCAACTGTCAATAATTAAGAAGCGCGTTCAAATCAAATAAATCGTCTAGAGTCGCCTGGGATATAAATGGCATTCATTCTGAACGCACCCGGGAAGATTCGTGATTTTACCTACTCTATTAAGGTTTTCCACTAGTAAAACTGGTGCGCACTCAGTGCAATTTTATATTCCACAGAATAAATTCAGTTCAAATTTTTCCGTGTAAACAAAGTTAGAAATAGGTAAGATTTCTCATTTCTTTAATTGATGATAATTATTATTCAAATCAAGTTCAATTCAAGTGCAATTTTATGTTCCACTGAAGTGACACTTTTTGTACACCAGAACAATTTTATTAAAAACGAGGTTAGTGTCAGCGTTGCACATAAAATTGTCAGTGGAAAACCCTAATCTCTGGATTTTACAGATTAGTTTTGTGAGTAAAAGGATACATAGATTACGCTTTATAGATCGATAAGTCTCTATTTTCCGTCAACACATGTTACAGAATCATCTCTTGACGCGATCGCGTACTATAAGGGAACGAACTTCACTGGTTATGTATTTTAAAATATTATTATTTAATTTGATTTATGTTTTCCTATCACTAACAGAAAAATATGAAGGGGTTAGTGTTCGTAATAGCAGATTTTGTGTGTTAAGTTATAGGAAATATCCTTTTTTAATTCGTATTTTATTTGACCATACTCTTAAGACTGTGTTTCTTACAAAACTAAGAGTAGAACAGTAGAAGAACACTTCAGGAGCAGTTCCCTGACAATTGGAAAGTAGCTGATGGAATATAAAATGACGATTTCTATTTATATGCATTATGAACGTGTAGTGCGCACTGCTATGACGTAAAGTTCGCCACGAGTGCTACAAAGTTTTGCCCGAAACACTCTGAGCATGCAATTAAATCGAACACGCATCAAATTCTAGTGCTCATTTCATAACCTCTGTATGACATCTGACTTCGTAATCGTTTAAGAATTGATTTTTGGTAATCGTTAACGCTTTTTTGTGTTCATATAGGTATCAATTTGTATACTACTATAAAAACGCAAGAATGTGCTTTTCAGCTGATATAGTCTCTTTTCCAAATTTCTTTTTTGGGTAAAACACTGATTTTTCAAAATCATCAATTAAAATGTATACAGTTTCCCTATTAAATCTAATTTTTTTTTGAACTAAAAAGAAAACCAAATTGGTACATACAAACAGTAGTTAAGTAAGTGTAATTATTTATTTACTACATCTTCCGGATATTGGTGTAGCGTAAAATTATTTACTTTTATTTGCTCTCTAAAATTATTAATAACATATATTCTTCAGATGAACTCTCTGAAGAAGAAAATATATTATCTAGAAGCATTATATTTAAAAATCTTCTACTACCGCCATTTTTAACTTGCACTACACTATTGAACTGACTGTTTCGTCAGTGCCAGAAAATTTGCATTCTCGCCAAATTCGGTGCGAACTAACTTGTAAATCGAACACATTAGATAGGCAAAGTGTGCACTCAAAATATAAATCGAACGCAGAAGTTGTTTACAGTACGCACTCAGTGCAAAAGTTCATGTAAATCGAAATCGTCAAAAATGATTCATTTCTACCAACAAATTTTTATTAATTTTAAACATGTTACGCAATGTTGCCAATGTTGTCACATAACATGACCCTATCTGAGTGTCTGATGTATATTGAAAAATTTTGTCTGAAGAAGGTGGTGGTGGTTAACCCATTTCATCATTTGTGCGTTGTGTCGTCCTTTTGCTGTACTTTTAAACTATTTATATCTATTGTGTTTACATACGAAACAATTTTGTATCATTTTCTTGTTATTGCTAACTGGTAAGTTAATTTATTTAAATTGTAGCCAAAATCTATTTTTAACAAATAAGTGTTTTCCAAAATAAAATATCCCGGCATGAGACGTGAGTTCCCCATCGCCATCCTTTGCTACGTGGCTTAAGTTAATAAAGTTATTCTTTCTAGGTCTTTTATACGTGAATTTCTGAATTTCCCAAAGTCGGGAATAAATTAGAAAGCGAACAAGGTTGACTGAACATCATAAAAAATCAAATAAATGTGATTTTTCGCTATTATCACACTTTCTCTAATGCAGTTTACATGCACTTTTTTATAACAAATATGATATATTTACGAGTAGAAAACGGAAGAACATTAGATACAGTATCTTATAATATTAATGAAGTAATTATATTTATTTTATTACAGAATAATGGATGTATCGACTCCCTTAATATTCATTGCATTATTTCTTCTTGCATTTTGTTCATTATTTCTTGTTTATAAATTTGGGATAAAGGAGAAGAGTTACGAGGAAGCCTTAGCTGAGCAGAGACAAACAACAAATGCCTTACTTGGGGTGAAACCAAAGCCAAAAGAAAAGAAAAACAAAAAGGCAGCTAAAAAGGTTTGTAGTGTACTAATTTGAAATTTCGAAAGTAACGATAGATGTAATAATGAAATAATTTTATAGTAGTTAAAGTGAAGTATTAGTCAAGTCTTATGCTCACTGTGCTACATGACATCACAATATCATCAATAGATATCGCCTCAATGTTGCAATCAATATGTCAATGCCATAGATTACCAAACTCTCGTTTGCAAGAATAGGTTTTTGCTTTATCTAAGGCTTTAGAACTATTTTTAAGGTAGTTGGGGCCTCATGGGTTGTAATTATGCCATTGGGCATTGGCTCGGTCTTTTAGAAACGACACACCTGCGACAACCCAAACTTTAGAAGCCCATATAGGCTCGGCCACAGAGAGGCCTTCATCTCACTTTGTAAACTAGTGACCATCAAGTTGAAGGTCCACAATTTGAATTGCGGGCAGTTTTTTAATTTTACTACAAGAAAACAATTGTTTTTATATTTTATTTACTGTCATACCTTAGATACAACATAGATACAGTGTTAAAAAAAATCATCCAATGATTTAAAAAATTTGTCGGTGCAAAATAAATACTAGCACTCAGTATAAATAAGTTCAAAACAATATTAGTTTTCACGACGCCTCAAAATATTTTTTAAGTTTAGAGTTAGATATGAAACGTCTCCGACATTTTGTTCAGTATACCATTGCATGTAAAGAATTAGAAATCCTATCAAAAATATATTTTTTATATTTTTATTCCTTATTTTTTACATTATGACAGTTCTTGAAAGAAAACTGCTATTACATTCTTTAAATTTTTAGAAAATATTTTCGTAGCAACCAAAAATGTATACACTTAAAGATATTAAATTCACTCTCGAAAAATGTCAACATTTATCTTATCAGATTTCATATACATAGCCCATCAATTTAATATAAGTTAATTAAAAGAAGATAAATTACTAAAAATCAAATTCCTTGGTAAACGGCATAGGTAAAAAAAAATAATCATGTTGACATGATAAGCATTTTTCTTAGTTATTTGTGTGTAATAACTTTTATTCTTTTAAATATTATTCATACATAAACCAACTGTAAATTTCTCTCAATTTGATAAGCCTTTCACTTCCTGGTATTTGATATTCCAGTAATCTTGGAAATGTTGAGCAGAATGTTGACAGTAATTCAAACTGAAAGTAAAAAAATCATGTATTTTTCTGAGTATCGTTACATGTAATTGATAAAGAATTTTCTTTGGTATTATAGTATATTAAATTGTTATTAAATAAACGTATAAACACATTTATTAACAAATTTTTGTCAAAACTGCTAAGATGATAGATGATATGGATATAATGATAGAAACTGTACCAATTTTGTTTTCACTGATCGAAAGTCATGGTTCATTAATCACAAAAATCCTGAGTAGTTGCATAATTCAAACTGATGATTCTAATAATTTATTAGAAAATTTAACTTTCGTCAGTTGTTACCTTCTAAGTATTTAATACAAGCTAAAAACAAATATTACAACAATTAGCCAATAAAGTTATACACCTTGTAAATAATAGAGATATTAACTAAATTAAATTACAGAAACTTGAAAGAGACAGGAAAGTATAAAATGTTTTACATATATTTTTATTAACCGCTAAAACATTTACATTTAATGTGACATATTCTGGTTATTATGTTTATACTCATAGAGATATAAATAAAATAAAATTAATATTTTCTAATATTAAAAAAAAAAAATACAATATTTTTGTAATAATTCACCATAATTCACAACTTAGGTGATTCATATGCAGTTTAATTTTTAAATTGTTATTGTGTTAATTACTATTTTCAGTTAAAAGAAAAAACAAACCCTCCAGGAAATGAAACTGATGAATCTGAAAATATTGAAAATCCTAATGTGGACAATTCCCCTCCCAATAAACCTCATGTAGAGTTTAAAGAAGAACCAGAGGAAGTTCCAATAAAAGAAGTTGTTCAAATTAAGGTATATTTAATTTCTAACATATTGTTTTGCATGCGGGAATTTTCTTTAAACTAATAAGGGATTCTGTACTTTGTATTTATTTGGGAATGGGAACTATATACCTAATATAATTAGTTGTATAACTATACTAAGCAAAATTTGGTTAAATAAAATATCCTTTGTTTTAACTAAGGCAGCTTATAGATTAAATACAATATCACTTCTTAAAATTCTAAAATGAGGAAACTTTTACTAAAACCTTTATCTCAAGATTAGTTATTAACATCAATTAAGTTGTAACTTTAGATATACTCTATTAAGCGTGTACATATGCTTATCTTTTAGCCCAAACGTGTGAAAAAAGTGAGACCTATTTTGGTAAAAAGGGATAAATCACCTGAAAAAGTTATTTTAGATGTAGTAGACACTCCCATTGTTAATCACTTTGAGGAAAATCCTCCTAAAGATGACTTTGAACTTTTAAGATCCAATAGTGTAAGTTCTGTGTTTGCTAACAAATTGTAACGTTATAATAACTGTAGCATTATACTTGTTACAGAGTTAGTTGCTTAATAACAATACAAAACCTTCCCGACTAAAATGAAATATTATTTTTTAAGTTCAAATAGGTATATGTTTATTACTGTTTTTTATTGCTTACAATAACTTAATTAGATTGGTTTAATGTAAAATTAACATAATTTATTAAAATAATGCAGTCAATTTAATATCTATTTATGAAATACTAATGATTCTTTTTTTTAATTAAAATGGATGAATGAAACAAATAATTTTTTTAGAGCAGTAGTTATTTGGAACTTTTTCTTACTTTATTCTCAAACTCTAGATATTTCATTTTGAAATATCATGTTTTATATTCTCCATTTATTATTATTATAACCACCTGTAAGAAAAGTTAGCCAAGTGTTGTTTTAATGAAATTATTTTTTCTAAAAAATCAAAAGAAAAGTCTTTGATTCTTTTGGTGCAAGGGTTAATTTAGAAATCCTTAACTATTTTTACAACTGGCAAACTACTTAAAAGAAAAAAAAACAAAATACTGAAATTATAAAAAATCATCTTGATACATTTTTATTATGGATGTGCCTAAGCAGGATTATCCAGATAACCGAATACAGAATATTTGACTTAAAATTTAAACGAAGCTTCAATGCTTTGGTCAAAGTGAACAAAATATATATTAATAAATTATTTGCAATTTTCCATAAAAAATAATAAATTTTTCTACCCAAAAGATTTTAATTTTAAATACAAAAATATCGAGGGCTAAGAACTGTTAGATTTTAAGTATTTCTCTTTTTAATTTTTTTTACTACAAGATTTTAAAATGATCTACCAAATTTCATTTTTGTTATATACTCCCAATAGTTCCTTGAAATATTTTCTAAGCTAAAATGTGTTCGTTCTAGAACTTGATTCAGCTATTCTAGTACTACTTCTAGATCATTACATATTTTGCTTTATGTAAATTTCTTAACATCATTTAAGCCATAAAAAATTTCAAGTTTCATTCTTTTTGTAACTAATTATTCTGTAATTAGCCATCCTCTGCACTCTAAACATTAGAGAGCACTGAAACAAGTACATAGTTCAACGTTTAACGGTTTGCAAACTAACAAGTCTTTTAACATTCTGGCGTCGACCAGTGCTTCTTTGGCCATATGAGCTGCTGCAGCCAGAGCAGGATCTGAAAAATTTAAGCAATACCGTATGTCGGTGTCGTTATTTTTTCAATTTATTTTATTTTTTTAACAAATCTTAGCGAGATGACATTTTCAAGCAAGAAGCTGTAAAAGAGAAGATTGTAAAGGAGAAGAAACAGAACTTAGAAGTTTCTCCGCCAATGAGAAATAATAAAAAATCCACTAAACAGCAAGCTGCAACTAATTCAACTGTCACTGAGGCACCTCCAGTGGTGGAGAAAGAAGCCGACGATAAAGTTGTAGAGCCCGCAACAGTTGTACCACAAACTAATGGTATTGTTGGAAACCTTGGCAAAGAGAAGAAGAAAAAGAAAAGTGAGTTTAACACCAGGCAGCAGCTGTGTAAGTTATTAGTTATTTTATTTCTTATTAAATAGTAATAGTTTATAAAATTTGGTACCTGTTATACAGGGTGTTCTTAGTATAAGTGTTTTCTTTTAAAACGTGATGGTACACGTCAGAATAAACAAAAAAGTTTTTTTACACTGTGAATTGTAAACTTAATCATTTTCGAGAAATGTATGGAACAATGGAACATTGCAAAGTTCAAAATGAACGCTTATAAAAAAAAAATAGAGAAGTAACTAAAGCTGTTTACTTTAAACTAGAGGTACCTAATGACCTGTCACTTAAAAATCGGTAGCTTACTGGAGAATGTGACCTATTTGGTCATTTACCGGGTCACTTTTGGTTTTTTGTTATAATAATAATAATAATCATAATAATAATAATAATAATAATAATAACTTTATTTCCATTTTTTATTTTTTATTTTTAAATGTATTGACATGCGTAGACTTAGAATCTATGTGACATAAGACATTTATTTTACTGTATTCTCTTATATACTGAACTTATACCATAAACACCCTGTATAAATAGAACATTTTTTGGTTTGAAAAGTTTATTTTTATCAGTTTATCAATGCTTCGTCTAATTAGTCTATATTTTTTTACATTACCGCTGATTTACGTCTAAATGTAATTTTTTATTTTGTTCAGCTGCGGAACGGGATGGATTAATAAAATTGGTGCGTAAAGCTGAATTCTCTAAGAGTGAGATTCAATTGCTTATTGATCTGTTACTGAACAAGCAGCTTGAGGCCCCCGAAGTCATTGACGATTGGAGTGAGGTAATCTTACACTCAACCAGTATGCCTGATTTTTACAATTCTTACATAAAAGAAGTATCGTGTTTTAGGGCAAATCTGATCCCGTTCAGAAGTTGAAGAAACAACTTGCCGAGAAAGAAAAGTCATTGGCCGAGGAACAAGAAGCGTTATTAGGAGTACAAGCAAAATTGAAGGAGATCCGCAGCGAACAACAAGCAGAAAAGTCCCAGCTCCAACAGAAAATCAGAGGACTTGAGGAAGTCGTCCAGAATAAACAGATTGAACAACAGGCTACTAATAACCGTTTACAAGTTAATACTCAGAAAATACAGCAATTACAAGCTGATCTCAATGCGGAAATTTTGAAAACTCATAAGCTCGTAGAGGATAATGCAGCTCTGCAAATGCAAATTCAGCAGTTTGAAGTTAGGATTTCCCAAGTACAAGACGTAAGTTTAATGTAATTAGTAAATTAAGTGCAAAAGTGGATAAATTTCGACGCTTTCGATGAGGTTTCTGCTATTTCCCGAACAGACATAAAAAGTGGTTACAATGTCTCAAGCCTGATTTTCTAAAAGAAATCGTTTCTCAAATAATTTTCATTTGCTCGAATAGGATTTGGATCGAGATTCCTTTGTTTCTTGATATAATTAAGCGTGCTATGGACGCATCCGATTTATAAAAAAACATGCAAGGGGCACTAGATTGTATCAGAAAATATTAAATTACAAGAAAATTATTTTTGGTGACTACATTTTTAAACTTTCTACAAAAAAAAAATGTAAAACCTTTTTACAGAAATAAGAATTTTTACAGAAAAAAAAGGTATTCGACATCACAAAAAACATTCAAAAATAAAAAACTTAAAAACATTCCTAATATTGGCAATTTCACCCTATAACTGATCCAATAAATCTAATTTGAGATTTAATGCAAATTTTCATATATACTTTTTGGAATTTTATTTTAGAATAATGAATAATAATAACACTTAGAAGAATATTTGAGTGTAACTTCTAAATGGATGGAGATTTTCTTATCAAAAGTTAAGAAAAAATGTAGTCTTTTTTTATGGCGAAAATATCTGGACATGTTCCTGGGAAAACAAATTTCGATGACGTTGTATTCCTTATTCCAATAATGAAAAAGAATATTTTTTGGCATATTTTAGGCAAAAAGTTAAATTTTTAATTTTCATTTTTCATTTCCGTGTGGCAAGGCCGAGGCTTTGAGCTTGTGGTTTTGTATATGTAGGATATTCAAACTCAAGATGGAATGGAAACCAACAAAACAGAAACTCATGTCGATTTCAAAAATTTTTAGGAAGAAAATGATTGTTCACTATTTTTTTGTTAGAATAAAAAAATAGTAATTCTAAAGCCACAGAAAAATGTACTAACAATTGAGGCGTTTACTGCAATAGTGACCTAACTTAAAAAATAGCATTTGTGAATAATTAAGCAATTTAATACATTTATTTTTAATTTGGGAAAAGGTTCACCACTTTCGTTGGTAATCAACATACCATATAATTTTACATTATAAAACACCGAACATTACCAAAAAAACATAGGCCACTTATGCAGGTTATTACATAATTTCAAGAATATTAGGTCAATTATAAACAAAAACTATGAAACTATACTAACAACTTTTATTGAAAAATCAATAGGAAATATTCGTTCTGTGACTATATAATGTAACTGTATAAATATATGTATATTAAACATAATAAGTTATTCTTCTTATCTTCATTAAGAGAATTCTACAGGATCGTATAGTCCATTGGGATCATCATATGTATTTATGGGTGTATTTTGTTTTAGTCGTAGATCAATATAAAACTTGTGAAAAATTGGAGGTTCATAGGGTAACAAGTCAGTAAGGTTATTGTACTTTAAACTATCAATCTCTCTCCCAAAATTTGTATTTCCACACTTAGGCCACTATTGCAGTAAGCGTCTCAATTACAATGCCTTTTTTCTTTGAATAGGCCAGGAAATATAGAATTGGGCGCGACTTTTTGTTTCGGCAAGGTGAATTTATCACTATAGATGCTAAATATTGTGTACAATAACATATTAGTTTCCACAGTCATAGAAATGGGGGGAAGATTGTTTACAGGGTGGATTGTATAATTTTTACGTAAATTCACATTTTTCGCTTATAACTTTTTCCGTTCATTTCCATGATAAAACAGTAAAATACTTTTTTTTTCGTTTTCAAAAGACCTACAAAACTAGCCTTCGAGCGTCAAAAAATATTGATTAGATCAAAATCGCACTGATTTCATAATAATACATTGAAATCTATCATATATTTTTTTAAAATTTCAAATTTGCAACCTGGAAATTTTTTTTATTTTTTTAGCCTTAGTTGCAAAATGAAATATACGACGCACACGCGTGATATAGTTATATATTATTACATATTCGGAAAGCTTCTGAAAAGAGCTTTAAGTTAAAAAAACAATTGTCAAGATTCGTTTAAAAACAACGGAGTTACAGACTGTCAAAGTTGACGGCCTATTGTTAAACAAATTAGGTTGGTAGCGGCAAAAAAAAAATCTCATAAACGGCAACCCGAGTACTTTCCCAGATAAAAATATTGTATTTGTGGAAAAATGTTAAGTGCATAAGAAATATTGTTAAAAATTAGAGGGTCGCTTGATTTTTCGACGAGTTGTGCAGCGAAAATGATAATATTCATAGTCCTGTCATTAAAAAAGTGAAATTCACTTGAAAATAATATATTTTTTTGACAGTCTGCAACTTCCTTTGTTTTTCAACGAATTTTGCCGATTTTTTTTTTTTAACTTAAAGCTCTTCATAAAATTTCCGAATATGTAATAATATATAACTATATCACGCGCATGTGTCGTATATTTCATTTTGCAACTAAGGCTAAAAAATAAAAAAAAATCCAGGTTGCAAATTTGAAATTAAAAAAAAAATGATGGATTTCAATGTATTATTATGAAATCTACCACGAAAAAACTCAGTGCGATTGTGGAAGATGCTTGGGATTGTCTAGACTAATAATTAGTTAATTTGTTTATAAGGCCATAACTTGTAAACTATTCAACTTGCCGATTCCAGATTTCGTGTGAGTTATTAGACAGTGATGAGGAATGAGAGGATGCGATGCCAAAACGTTCTGGTAATAATTACGCAATTTATAAATTCAAAAATCATAAATAAACTTCTTCTGTTTATAACTTTTGATCTAATCAATATTTTTTGACGCTGGAGGGCTAGTTTTGTAGGTCTTTTGAAGACGAAAAAAAAAATAGTTTACTGTTTTGTCGTGGAAATGAACGGAAAAAAGTTATAAGCGAAAAACGTGAATATATGTAAGAATTATAAAATTAACCACCCTGTAAACAATCTTCCCCCCATTTTTATGACTGTGGAAACTAATATGTTATTGTACATAATATTTAGCATCTATAGTGATAAATTCAGCTTGCCGAAACAAAAAGTCGCGAAATGGTCATTTCCCAGCTCTTTTTCCTGGCCTATGAATATAAACTAAAAATGAAAACCTCAAAGCTAACGAGGCTAGCAAGTGAACAAAAAAGTGAATAAAAAATTGGTGTTCCTGGGTGCACAAATACATCAATAAATAAATCAGTGTCATCAAATTTGCAAAGAAAAAATTTCTTAACTTCAACAAAGCCAATCTCTGAGTTCTCATAGCATGCATACTCTGGCAATACCGGAAAATAGTTTTTTGAGCCAATATAAGTTGCATTTATAATAGTCTAATCTCGTATGTTTTTTGTAAAATTTTGCATATCTGATTATAAGACTATCTTTAACTATTTTATAGGGTGTATTCTGTAAGAGGAAAGTTAAATTTTAAAGAGTGTTAAAATTTTGACGCCTATTATTTTTAGGTATGTATTCTGTATGAAATATATGGTTATTTTCGAGAGTTAAATAGAGCCAGTGAAATGGTATTCTATATAACATTTTTTTGGTTAAATTAAACCAGTTGAGTTGAGTGTAGACGTTAAAAAGTTAATTTTAAAGGTTCCTAAACTAGTTTTTTTTTGTGTAAATTGAAATCTGAAGAGATAAAATATGGCATTCGATGGATTTATTCACTTGGTACTTGTTGAAATTGACGAGAATAATAGACAAATGTAAGTTTACTTTAAAAAATTCATACAATTATCAAAATGCGGTTAGATAATCCGATTTTCTATTTCCTTCCGGAAGAGAAAACAAACTATATCAGAGGCAACTTTGTGATAACAGTGATCCTTTCCAGTTGCCAGATCTCCGGGTTTGACCCGGAGTTTTCAGATTTTGATGGTACATCTTTGTACCCTAGTTGCCAGACGTAACATATTTAAAGTTATTTCTTCTTAATAAACATTCTTGTCGGCAATTAATCAATAGCTTAACTGTACACTTAAATCAACTTATAAGGGCAATCAGAATTCCTCCACACGTAGCTTTGAATTTTTTTGGACAGCTCTCAGTTGGTCAAGGATACAATTTTTCAGTGAGTCAACCCACAGTAAGCAGATGTGTAGCTGAAATCTCAGACGCTATAAAGTTTTTATTATGTGACTTGATAAAGTTCCCTGTCAACATAAACCATAGGCGGGATTGAGGGGGGGCAATTGCTCCCCCAATATTATTGCAATTGAGCTAAATAAATTAAACTCAGAGTTAAACTTCAAGGGAGTGCAATTACAATAGTTGTATGGCAACAGTTCGTAGTTAAACCGCAGATAGGCGGGCGGGAATTCGCAATCTCTGGGTTTTTCTTTTAGAGGGTTGTGTAAAATTTTTCGAGATATGTTTGCCCCCTCAATGATTTGGGCCAAATCTCGCCTGACATTGACGAAAGAGAAGTAATAATGAGTGGGTTCAGAGACGTGAACAATAAAAAGTTAGGTTAAATATCAATACTTTGTCTTCATCTTCTTCGTGAAATTGTTTAACCCAGGCGCTTACAGAATGGACCCTGATGACGTTTAAACTGAACTTTGTTTTTGAACATCCCTATTAAAATTTTTGCAAACCTGAGTAGCCTGCGACTGTTTGTGTTTTGTTTTCAATATTCCGTTCGAAAACAGTAATTTCAAAAGGTTTGCAAATGTTTGTGAATAGTGTTAATTTAATAGTAATGTTCAGTTTTTGTTTATTTTATTAAGTTTTACGTTACTTTAGCATAATTATGCAGCTAATTGGATGTTTTTAAAAAAAATCTTATTGTATGTAGATAATTGCCTTGTGAACGTTTTCTCTTTACTTACAGAAAGCAGTGTGAATCACCTATAAGTAAAAATAAAAAAAAAAACACGGTTTAAACTCATTGCCCAAATGTTGTGAAAAAACTATGTTTCTGGTGGAAATAACGTGAAAACTAAAAAGAAATTAAAGCTGAATATAACCCATTTGGTCAGGACACAGTGTTTGATTTGTTTGTGTTTTGTTAATGTTTTAGTTTTCCTGGTTTCAAAGAATAAAACAAAAACAAAACATAAACTCAACTGTCCGCTTGGTAAAAATCCATCTTTTCATATAAACATATTTAATTATAGACTGACAACATTGTTGCCACACTCAAAAATGACGTCGAGGAGTTATCTGCCCAAAATCAACATCTTAGATTGGAGCTACAGCAAAATGTGGCTGAAAAAGACCATCAACAGCAGCAGTTTATGATCCAGATGGGTAACCTGGAAAAAGGGCTGAAGCAGCAAATTCAACAACTCGAGGTTAAAATAATTTTTTTCATTGACATTCACAGTAGTATATTGAATTTTTTTCTTTAATAGGAGTCTCGTCAAGATTTGGAAAGGAATCTAGAGATGGCTGTGAGGCAAGAAAACGATTGGAAAATGGAAATTTCAAACATCAATACCGCCCTGCAACAACAGTATGAAGAGAAGAGAAGGTTGGAACAAATTATAGATCAGGTGAAAGATGAACTGCAAGTAGTGAATAACGAAAAAGCTGAAAATATTAAAATTATTGCCCAGGTAAGCCAACTGAATATAACATTGAGGTACAGACGCTAAACTTCTATATTGCAGTTAAAATTGGAGATACAACAATTACAAGAAGACCAGGTCTCCCAAGTAAATGGATCATCGGAGGAGAGTAAGGCTCAAGAAGTAGAAATTCTGAACCTGACCAACGAACTGTCGTCCGTAAAAAATGAATTGTCAACAGTCAGATTCGAGTTGCAACAATCAGAAACAAGGTACAAAACAGAACTTGAAAGTTCGAATAAGAAATATTCTACAATCCAAGTAGAATTGGAAGAGCAAAAGAAAAAAAATAATGTAAGTTACTAACGTGATATTTGTCGATATTAGTAACTAACCATGTGATTTATTTGTTCAAATTAAAATAGGAATTAAGAACTAAGAACTGGAAAGTGATGGAGGCATTAAATGTTGCTGAAAGCAGGAGTAAAGCCAATAGTGCAAATAAGCAAACGGACTTAAACCTAGATGTAAGTTTTCTTTTAAAATTGGATTCGTCACTTTCCATTTCCTATGTAGCTCTAAAACATCAGTTTTTCATTTTTTTTTTTCTTTAGTCGTAAATTTTTATTGAACAGAACAGTAGGGGGGAAGAGTTCTGGATCCAATTTTTAACCCCCTTTCCCAGTTTTTCTTAGTCTTTATTCAAAATTTAGATTAGTGTACGTGTAAAACGGAATGAAATAATTTTTATTTCTGATATTAAGTATCAATTTATTATCATTATTCTTCAAATAAATATAGACGTTGCAGTTAATCAATTCATAAACCTCTAAGGAAATATTTGAGTATCGGTAAATATGTTTTTATACTGATTAGCTGTTTATCCTTATCAAATATTATGTTATCTAAATATAAAAGACATAATAAGCCCACATATAATCACCCAAATTTAAAAAATTAAAAATTTGTTTAAAATATTAATGCCTAGTAATCCAGAGGTTTTAATTTGCAATCGTAAATTTTTAAAAAACATTTAAAGCGTTACAAGTATTGAATTAAACAACATTGTGTTTAGTAATTTTGACTTGTTTGTTTGCAACTCTAAACAACTGTAAACAAACATGATAGTTTTATTAGTAAAGCTTAAGGAGGTTTATCGGATACGGGGGTACCTCTAAAAGTCTAACGAGAGTTTCTGTACATTCACTAGTGGATAAATCATGGGTCATCCATAAATTACGTAAGGGTTCAATGGGGAGGGGGGGCTCAACATTTTCTTATCATTCCTTACTTGGGGGGGAGAAGGGGGAATGAAATTCTTACGTAATAAAATAATCTACATTTATTATAGCTATAAGTAAACCTAAAATGTGACAACTGCGACAGAGCTAAATTTTATTTGTGGGATTTTCGTGACCAAAAATGTCGATATTCATTTTTTTCTCCTCTAATATAACAAATATATTAACACTGAAGCAGCACGAGTTTGACCGACGCACCTCCTATGTAGTGTTTTCCCGTGAAAGCACGGTATATGAGTTTACGTTTATAACCTCTACGTACATTCTCTGCCAGACACGCCATTATCGCGGAAATTTCTGCTTGGAATACGGTAGGGAACTCCCCCAGACTGTAGCTTGCACTCCATCTGGGTCTGAGTCCATATATTCCTGCACCCGTCCCTCTGGTCATTTTGGAGCCATCTGTAAACCATATTAGGCTCCACCTTTCCAGGGTATTAAACCTTTCCTCCCACTTGCTTTGATCCTCTATTCGAATCTCAAATGGCTTGTGGAAGTGAAACCTTGGAACCATCTTGTCAGATACCATCCCAAAAGTTGGTTCCGACATAGATGTGTCTATGATCCTGGAATAGCAACTACCCCTCCAGTCATTGTTATTCCTGAGTCGATATGCTGCTAGCCCCGCTTCTCTTTCCACCACTATATGCAGCAGTGGTAGATTTAGCATGACTTCTAGTGTAGCTGTCGGGGTCAATGCCATCGCCTCCGTTATACCTAAACAGTCCAATCTCTAAATTCTATTCAGTTTTTCCCTCGCTGTGGTCTGTTGTGTTTTTTGCCACCATACCACAGCGCCGTAGAGAATCCTAGGTCTTACTATCCATTTGGTTCCTTAGATATCGGTTTCCTATTTATACAAGTTGCTGTGGAAACTGTTTGTCAATTATTGCGCATTCTAAGTGGAAAGTCCAAAAAAATCTGCATTCTCATAAGACTGCACTAAACATGAAAAATAATTTTTCACTATTTATTTTATTAGTATCTCGTCTCTTAGGTATCCAAACTAGTCTTAATTTTTTTTTGAGGATTTTCCTCATATTAATAATATTATATTAATTTTTTTTTATGAATATTTGTTCATCAATTCCAAATCAGANTTATTATTATATATTAATAATAATTAATTTTTTTATGAATATTTGTTTGTCAATTCCATGTCAGATAAACCTCCTTAAAAAACCTTGTACAATAAATAGCCTATATTTTATTAGATATAAATGATTACAAGCCACATGACCACCGAGCTTAGCAAACCCAACATTGCATGATTGATGCTGGTGACGAAAATTCCCAAAATCTTAGCTTTATTAATGATTCGTTTACAGTGATAAACTGTTATGTCTACGCTCGAGATAATGTGTTCGCCGATTAATTGAATAAAAAGTCTTGAAAAATTACACCAATCACAGCCGATAAAACAGAACATTGCGTTTTAATGTATTCTTGATTTTATTGTTTTAATTTTACTGATTTTAATTGCCAACGTAAAGGAAATAAAATTACTGTTCCAAACAAAATTACTGGTCACGTGGCTTGTAATCATTTGTGAAAGATCTGTGTAACAAAATATTTGTGCATTTTTAACATCATATTGCTTTCCAATTTAGTGCTTACAGGAATATAGTTATTGTTTTTATTACTACCTTCAAATGTTAATAGCGAAAGTAAAATATAAATTAATAATTACACAGGCACACACAAAAAAAAAAAATCATGAACCAGAGGGTAGACCCAACTATTCATAGGTTTTTGGGGTCGCCAGCACCCTCTGAAGGGGGTCAAATTTTAAATTTTCATACAAAATTAAGATATATGCGTATTTCTATGTTTTTTGGGACGCCGAAACTGAAAATGACTACAAAACATGATATCCACTTATTCGATTACACCCCCTTGCACTTCCTTACAATCATTTAAAAGAACCAGCAGGATCCATATGAAAGCTGGCTCTCGGTAAATTGCGCTAACATTTTCGGAAAAAATAAGAGAACGAAAGTTTTCATGGGCTCAACGCTTAAAATTCCAACGATCCAAAGTCAATTACCTGTTAATTAGACAAGTTTAAAAGTACCTTCAGCTCCTATGTTGTAAACGTCAATACTTCACCGATTAGAAATATCAGCTCTTAGATGTATTTATGATTTGGTTCAACTTTTAGCGCAACCCAGGAACAACGGCGCAGAGGTGGTAGGTTTCTGTTCCCTTTGGGGTGCTTGAGTAGCGTGAGTCCCCTTGCCTCTCACAATTCGGGGTGCTTGATTAACGTGAGTTCCCTTGTCTCTCACGGTTCGGGGTGCTTGATTAGCGTGAGTCCTCTTGCCTCTCAAGTTTCGGTGTTTACCTCTTTCTATGATACCAAACTCTCTTGCTTTCAAACGATCTTCTAAGCCAGTTAAACTGTTATCCGCCTTCACCGTGTGGAGGTATCTTAGTCGCAAAAGTAAATACGGAATCAATCCTATTCCAGAGGCATAAAATTAGATTCGTGTTTTAAATGTAAATAAGACTGGTCAGTGAAGAGCAAAAACATTAAAATCAAAGAAAAAAAAAAATGCAAACGGAAAAAAATTAAAATATCTTGTGTAGAATAAGGTGTCAAGTTCAAAATATCAAAAGGCAAAATAAACACGGTTATGATTAGGACAGAAATCATAATTCGGTTTTAGCATCTCAAAAAAAAAAATAAATCTTACATCTTAATTTTGTACAAGTTTAAAATTCAACCCCCTTCAGGGGGTGGTAAGGGGATGCTAGCGGATAAGAGAGGGGTTAAATTCATTTTTTGTAGTCATTTTCAGTTTCAGTGTCTCAAAAAAACATAGAAATATGCATACATCTTAATTTTGTTAGAAAATTTAAAATTTAACACCCTTCAGGTGCTAGCGGGAAAACGGGCAGTTGAAATAATTTTTTATGGTCATATTTGGTTTCAGCGACCCCAAAAACCTAAGAATAGTGGGGTCTACCCTCTGGTTCATGAAATTTTTTTTGTGTGCCGCTAAAAATAAATTTTTAGAGGTTTTTAAAAGAAGTAAATAAAGAAGCAGAAAACAATAAGTAAACAAACACAAATGACAAACTTTATTCTTGCAAAGTTCAAGCATATCTGAAAATGTCCAAACAAACTTTTCAACAGTGCTGTTGTGTAAATAGGAGAATTTCTCTTTTTTTTTGTAATTTTCAAAAGATTTGCTTAACGCATATATACATACATCTTTTATAACAATATAAAAACAATATGGTGACATAGATTGTTGAAGTTGACATATTAGAATTTAGAACTATGTTCACTTATTTATTGTAGAAAAGTATACAATTCGAACTAACGGATTGTAATTTTCCTTATGATTAAATACAGTGTGTTATAGATTAAGTGAACAGTTGCTGTTATTGGCTGCTGCTGGCACTGTATCGTAGAGGAGACACTTCAAAATTGCATATGTGTTCTTGGAAATTTTAAAATTTTACATTGGTCAATATAGTACGTCAATATTATTTTGAAAAGTTACCAGCAATATGATAAAAATAGGGGAATTATGCTGTTTATTGAGTTTACAACATTTTATATAGGATGAAGAAGCACAAATGATTGACAATTTTGAGTCCAAAATCAGATAATTGTGTTGACAGTACATTAGACTAAAGTTGCTTCATTTGCAAGTTAGAGTTCATGTTGTTGAAAAACATCACAAGTTCTATATTTCAACACATGTTTGATGTAGATGATGTGAATGAATGAAACTTGTGGCGATGGTTTACCTGAAGTAAATATTCACTGAATTTGTATATCATTATATTAATCAGTGGTGAAGATACTGGGAGGCATCATCATTAAGAACCACAAAATTCGATGTTACCGAGTATTTTGGAAATTCAATAAGTTCATTCGATTCATAACGGTATTTCAGGGAGAAAAGGTCTTTTAAATTTTATTTGAAAAACAATGTAGAAAATTTAATATTTCTATGAAACGATTTTATTTCTTTTTTGAATTTTTAACGATTACATTGTATTTGTAACTAAATTGGTAACTTGAATTTAACTTCTAAAATTTGTAACTATATTTGCAACAAAAAATTCCTATAAGTGTTTTTGTGAAATAAACAGTTTTGGAGAGTATTTTGAAATAATAAATTGAGAATTATTCATTTTAAAAATTAAACGGATGAAATATTTTTGCTCTGAAATACAATTGACAATTACTTAAATGAATTTATATAAATGAAAACTTATACACCCCGTGCACTTGCAAATGAAGCATCCTTAGCCTAAAATATATTTGGTTCAAGATTAACAAGGTACCATTCGTGCTTTTTGATATTACGCTCTGTATAGAATTTCACCTAAACAAAATATATTTTTTTGTTTTAATCATTTTATGTTGTACTTAATTTTTCCGCAAATTAAATTATTTTCAGAAAATAAAGAATGAGATTCGCGTAAAAGAGCAAGACTCTCAAAAAGAATTCATCCAAAGACTGTTCCCCGAGATTGAGGACCTTCAAGTAGCGACTGCGGAAGATTGGCAAGCGGAATTCGGTAAACTAATTAGAAATTATGTAAGCGACCTTAAAAAACAACAAACCAGACCTCGTTCTCCTGAAAACTCACAAAATACAGCCAAATTGCAGGCTCAATTGCAGCACTACAAAGATATAATAGATGACACAGTAAGTAGCCATTGGTCTCCGAGTGATTTGTACTTATCTAATACCTTTTCAGGCTGGCACATTAAACAGACTGCAGTCTCATATACAAAAAGAAGAAATTAACTGGAGGCGTCAGCTGCAAGCCAAAGATACTGAAATAGAGAATTTAAAAGAAAGTTGTGTATTGCCCGTAAGTACTCGTTTTTTTTTCCAGTTAGCATGTTTTTGACATGATACATCTATGAAACAATCTAAAAACGTAAAACTATCTTTCTGCTCATAACTTTCAAAGTGGTGAAAAGATTAAAATCCGTAAAGTATTGATTAAAGACCAAAAGTGGACCCCCATCTAATACAATACATACGAATTTTTTTATTTTAAAACTTGACTAAGATCTGCAAATGATTACACTCAAAATCATCTTTCGACTAACTTCGGTGGCTTATATCTCGATAATTAGAAATCGTATGGATGTGAATAAAGCCTCATTAGTTTTGGAACTAATAGAGATAATATAGACATTCATGAAATTTTAGACTCCATTTCAGAACAATCGTTGCAACTGAATATGAACTAAATTTTAATAGACCTTCTAAATTCTAAAAAACACTTACAAACCATTTAAGGCTTCATTCACACAAATCTAAGAAATATTTTTATTGAGCACTTTATATTAAGGTTTTTTATTTTAAGAATACTGGTTGTGTTCATAAACCTTATAAACAATAATAATAATAATAATATTGTGGTCTACAAGTTATTAAAGAATAATAATGCTGAAATATTTACGAAATTATTTATTTTTAAATCAACTACTCTGTGAACTACAGCCCCATAGAATTATACCCCAGTAGGCATTGAGTAATGATGATAATTAAAATAATATTTTGAATTCTTAAATTAAGTTCTTTGTCTTTGAAATTAGGGGGCAATATTTCTACAGGGTGTTCTATGTCGAAAAAGATATAGCCAGTTAAAAGGGCCACTCTGATGATGGTTTTTTCTAAGTAACTCCGAAACAAGTTGATATGAATATATGAAATTTGGTAACTAGCTTAACTCTTATGTGTTCAGTCCGCTACTAAATCGAAATTTACAAATTTTCATCACATATGTTCTAACACTGGGGGGAGGGAGGTAAAATTTACCATAACTTTTTTATGCTTTGACTTTTTTTACTTTGGACTGAAAAGTATGAAATTTCAGAGAAAAAAGGTACTCATGGTCTATATTGGTAGAATGTTGAATTTTTGTGTAAAATCCGTTTAAAAATAATATTATATGTGTTAATCAACGGGAATCGAAATTGTCAATATTTTCATTTGCATTGACAGTTCAGTTATTTACTTTTTGCGAATTGTTATTTTCACAGAAATTTATTATTTTTAGTAAATTATTATTTGCCAAAGTAAAAAAACAATTGAAATTATTAAATAGTAATTCAATAAACTAATAAAAATAATTGAAAACCACACTATTAATAAAACTTATCTTTATCAATAGTAATTTTTATAGCAAATGCTCCAAAAGATTTCCATTTTGCTGAATACATTTTTCAGCTCGACTTCGAATTGTCTGTGAAGACCTCAAAATTATTTTGTCTGATTTGATTCACAGCCAAATTGTAATTCTTCCATAGGATTTGTTTCTGTAGCGTAAACTACAGCCTTCATCTTACCCCACAGAAAGTAATCTAGAGGATTTAGCTCTAGGGATCGAGGTGGCTATGGAATGGGGATACCTCTACCTATCACCTACCAGGAAAATGATCATTTAACCAGTTTAAGACATTGAGGGTAAAGTGAGGTGGTGCCCCATCTTGCTTATAGTATAACGTTAAGCGTACATTTAACAGTATATGATCCAATAGTTCTCTTACATCATTTTGCAGGAAGTTTAAGTATCCTTCTGCATTCAGAAAACCGGGAAACTGAATTAGTCCAGGTAGCTGGTTCCCTAAAATTCCTGTCCACACATTTATTGCAAATCTATTTTGAAAATTTGTGCGCTGTATTGCTCGTGATTTTTCATCTTACCAGAAATGGGTATTATGAATATCTGCTTGCTCTACATTCGTAAAATGTTGCATTTTTGACTGATAGCAATTTGCAAAAAGTAAATAACTGAACTGTCAATGCAAATAACGCCAAATGCATTTTTTGTTATTCAAAACCTGCGACGATAAAAAAAATATTTCGACTTTCTGTGATTCAACATTATTATTTTTAAACAGATTTTATACAAAAATGAAACATTCTATCAATCTGAACCAAGAGTACATTTTTTTACTAAAAAAACTGAAATTTCATACTGTTCAGTCAAAAGTCATGAAAGTCAAAGCATAAAAAGTTATAGTAAATTTTATCCCCCTTTCCCCAGCGTTAGAACCTATGTGATGAAAAGAGCTCCGCACTTTTCTTATGGGAAGTGGGTTTCGGCCAATTTTTTTGAAACTTCGCATGTTGATAGTTCTTAACATGTAGATCAAAAGTCTCAATGGGCACAAAGCCCCAAATCCACCCCTTCCCCCGCCCCAAAAACTGCCTCCAAGTAGCGGGGGCGATTTAACTGATTTCTGCATGTAAAACAATTTATTTTTTTTAATCAACCCAACAACGACCCCAAACAACCACATTTTTGATTATCAAACTGCCCCACTCGACCCCGCCCCTCACACACCCCCCGCCCCCTACGAATCAGCCTACAGATTTTCCAGATTACTGTATTTTTTGCACGTATTTTTTCGCACTGAATTCGAACTTGCAAATTGCAACTCAATTTTACGAAATCGGGTCAGGAAAATTGTTATTAACAATTTAATTGTTTATATAGCTGTACAAAATTAATTTGTGATTTTATGGAAAAATATTTCAAGTAAAAGTTATTTTGACTAAATCTAAAAAAAAGTTTATATGTGATTTTTTCGAAAAAGTAATATTCAAGCTGTAAAACGCTGTTAAACTAAACACACGTGTATATCTACAGCTATCATACGTATACTGTGTTAAACTTTGGTGGCGTTTTAAAGCTAAAACATTGATTTTTCGAAAAAACAAGAATAGTTTTTTTAGATTTCATTGAAATAAACAACTTTTATTTGAAACTTTTTTTCATAAAACGACAAGTAAACTCCCCGCTACTTGGAGGCAGTTTTTTTTTTTGGGGGGGGGGAAGGGGTGGACTTGGGGCTTTGTGCCCATTGAGACTTTTGATCTACATGTTAAGAACTATCAGCCTGCGAAGTTTCAAAAAAATTGGCCGAAACCCACTTCCCATAAGAAAAGTGCGGGGTCCTTTGTAAATTTCGTTTTGATAGCCGACTGAGAACGTAAGAGTTAAGCTAGTTACCAAATTTTATAAATTTATCTCAACTGGTTTCGGAGTTATTTAGAAAAAACCATCAGAGTGGCTATATCTTCCTTAGGAAGAATTTTTGGACCCACGTTTATATAAAGAAAAAGTAATATTTTTCGACATAGGACACCCTGTAGCAATATTGCTCTTTAACTTCGGGACACCCTGTATTTACAAAGTTTTGCTAATCATCCAAATTTGTATTCTTAAAATTGAAACATCCTGCCGAATTCTCAAAACGTATTAGAAAAATATCCAAGATGTATAATGTCGTGTCAATAATAAAGTTCCTCGACGTTTTTTAGATTTTTATATCTTCTATATTTTTTTGTCATTTTTGAAATCGAGAAATGTATGCGTTCGTAGGGACACTATTTGTATTTTTGTAAAAGTATTTCAATTTTTTGTCTAAATGTATCACAAATTGATTATTTGTATCAAAAAGATATAAACTAAGCAAAAAAATCATGAAATCAAATAGTATGAACAAAGTTTCGTTTCAATAACATCATTTTTAGGTAAGATTTTTTTTTAAATTTTATCTCAAAGATACATCAAAAATAATAAATTTGGACGAGGTTTTCCTCATCCATATTTCTTTTATTCTATATTTGTAATGCTGTATAAAAATAACTGAATAATACTGGAGATTGCAAATTATTTATTATAATTAAAGTAAATAAACGTTACTTTAAAACTGTATTCATAACACTAAAAATTTTGTTTTCTTTTAGCTGAAAACAAAAATTTTAAGTTTAGAAAAGCAGTTATCAGACGAAATCAAATTGAAGGAACAGGTAAATCAAGAGTGTCGTGTACTGAAAAGTGGCCAACCCCTACAGACTGATGCCACAGCTACGATCGAAAAGCTGTCTGAAGTATGTTATATGCTTTTGCCTATTTAAAAAAACAGGTATCGTGATTTTTATATTTGTATTGTAGGAAGTAAATCATTTGAGAGAACAACTCAGAGTAGAACAGACTAAAAATGGGGATGTGAATGTTTGTCTCAAAGTAAGTTTTTAATTTTCCATTTGTTGAGAAAGTTTGCTCAATCTTTATGTGCACATTTATGATGGTACTACTCCTGGCTTTAAATGATTTGTTGTTGATTATAATAAATGTTTAGAACACTAATTCAAATATAATTTCAAAAATTTGTAAACATCCATCCAGTCACTTGTAAAAAGAAGATAATTGTAACATATTGAGCAAATTTTTGTTGACACGTTTCCTAAAACTATTAGTCCTTATTACAGTTGCGGATTTCATAAACTGGATCATTAATTCTTAATATTGTCGACATGTAGGCCACCATATTGTGCTTATTTGTTGGTTGTTTTACCCAATGAGTAGTGATGCGATAATCAACACAAAAATAGTTCTTTGAATAGTATTTTTCATAAATAATTGAAGCTGTTAATTTAAAATATTGTACCTAAATATGTTTTATTAATTAATTAGTAATTACGATAGCTTGCTTAATAAAAAAATAAGATTTATTTCTTGATAATTAAACAATTTTTAGAATATTCTTGTAACTAATACGAACTTTGAGACCATTTCCAAGAATATTGCAACAATGCAGGAGATTAATTAAGTACATTAATAAACTTTAACAGGTTATTTTTTCTTTTTTTTTATTGCGGACCTACACGTTTATATAATTTTTTTTGGTGTACAATTACTCAAATAGTTCCTTAAAGTTTGTCGACGTACTTAATTAACACTCTGTATATAGAATTTATAAGAATTAAGCAACTTTGAAAACAAATGGGACAAAACAAGAAAAATGCAAAATGACAGCTTTTATTTCTCTATATCATAATCTCTCAAGACAGTATGTTATATCCTCATTTATTCTCGATTCATTCCCTTCATTCTCAGGAATGTTCTTCAAAAATAAATTCTCAAGAATTTTGCAACACTAGATCTGTATTTTACTGTAGGAAACTGTAAAACCATTTTCTAATTGATTTTCATTTCATAATATATCGGACACTAGAATGTGTTTAATTAAGGAGGTTTATCGGGTATGGAGGTACGTCTAAAGTCTAACGAAAGTTTCTATAGATTCGCTAGTGACTAAAGTAGTAAGCCTTTATATTTGGCAACGTTGCACTTGGCTGGCGGGCTCTGCTCGGCGTTCGCTCGCTCCTGTTCGATCATTTTGTTTGTTTGGACACCTGCGAATTTCAAATAATACGCTATGTCGAGACCGCGGCGTTGCCGCTATCACGCATGTGGAGGATAAGTTAGTTAACGACAGCAGTTTGAAGGAGAATTATTATAAATAATGTATCTTACATGTACCTAATCAATTTCTACCAGCTGTCATACGGTTCCTTAGATATCGGTTTCCTATTTATACAAGTTGCTATGGAAACTGTTCATCAATTGTTACGTATTCTAAGAGGAAAGAGCAAAAAAATCTGCATTCTCATAAGACTGTACTAAATCGTGAAAAATTATTTTATTAATATCTCCTGTCTTAGGTATCCAAACTAGTCACAATTTTTTTTTGAGGATTTTCTTCATATTAATAAGCTTATATTCATTTTTTATTAATATCTCCTGTCTTAGGTATCCAAACTAGTCACAATTTTTTTTTGAGGATTTTCTTCATATTAATAAGCTTATATTCATTTTTTATGAATATTTGTTCGTCAATTCCAAATCAGATAAACCTCCTTAATTTCGAGACCCTGTATCTCAGAAACTATCGAATTGCGGACCTACACATGTTTATGTAATTTTTTTGGTAAAATGACTCGAAGAATAGTCCCTTAAAGTTTGTCGACGTACTTAATTAACACTCTGTATATAGAATTTATGAGAGTTAAGCAACTTTGAAAACAAATGGGACAAAACGAGAAAAAGACAGCTTTTATTTCTCTATATCATAATCTCTGAAGATAGTATGTTATATTCTCATTTATTTTCGATTCATTCCCTCCATTCCCAAGAATGTTATTCAAAAATAAATTCTCAAGAATTTTGCAACATTAGATCTGTGTATTTTACTGCAGGAAACTGTAAAACCATTTTTTAAACGATTTTCATTTCATTGGTCGCTAATAGAATGTGTTCATATTAAGTTGTTAATGAAAAAAATAGCCTAAAGATGTGAAGAAATTGTACAGGAAACCAGTATTTTTATAAATACTTTTGATCTATATATGTTTTTTTAATATCGTGAAAAAAATTCTTTTAGTATGTGGAATAAAATTATTTTTTAAAAGATCAACCACTGAAAGCATAAAAGTTGCAAAAATGGTTTTATGCGAGGGGGGACCCAAAAATAATCAGACACCATTTTTAAAAAATACAGAATAAATTTTTTTGGATTACAAATGTTAGTCGCCTTCAAAGTACTCTTCATTAATACTAATAAACTGGTTTAAACGTTTTTTCCACTGCGCAAAACACCTTTTGTACTTGTCCTTTCCGTTGCCTTACAGCACCATCTTTAATTTTCTTTTCACCTTTGGAATGTTTGCCAAATGTTTCTCAATTCCTTTTCATCCAAGAGAACAAAAAAAATTACAGGGTGTCAGGTCAGTTGAGTAAATTGGGTGAGGAAGTGTGTCATGCAGATTTTTCTCAAAAAATCACGCATAGAAATGGCTATGTGGGCTGAAACATTGTCGTGGTGGAAGAACCAGTCCCCACTCTGCCACAACTCGGTCTGTTTCAACCAAACACTGATACAATCGCGTTAAAACACTCGGGTAGAATACTTTGTTCACTTTTTGATGCTCAGGAACATACTTTGAGCGAACAATGCCATGAACATCGAAAAAAACATCAACATTGTTTTCACGGCTGATTTGACTTGCCAGACCTTTTTCGGGCGAGGGGATTTGGCCTCCCATTGCGAGGACCGTCGCTTTGTCTCAGAGTCGTACCCATAACACCACAATTCATCCCCGGTGATGATTTTGTCAAAAAAGTTCTCATCCACTTTCAAGTGCTTCAACAAGGCATAACAAGCAGCGACACGAGCAACCTTTTGATCAGAAGTCAACAAGCGGGGATGAATTTCACCACAATTTGTCTCATTTGCAAATCTTCGGTTAAAATGTGTTGCATTGAGTTCGACAAAACACCAGATAATTGAGCAAATACATCAATAGTACGCTTCCTTGTACAAAAGCATGCAAATTTCTTTTCACGTTTTCATCAGTTGGCAGGCCGTCCCGGGCTTTGAATGTCTTTGATTAATGTCACTGCTTTTGAATCGCGAATACCACTAGAATACTTTTCAAAGCATGTTCTTTATAAGTTGTAGATAATATATCAGCCACATCCAATACACTTTTACCCAGCAGAAAACGAAATTTCAATGTTGCACGCTATTTTCAATACAGCCATTTTAAAAAGAGGTCGAAATAGTTCTCACGAGGGGTTACGTAACACTCATCTAGCAAGAGAAGCCCAAAGTACAAGAACGACGCACGAATCGAATTTCGTCTGACTATTTTTGGGTCTCCCCTAGTATATGTATTACATGAATGTGTTGTGCTGATGTTTTTGATAATTTTAACACAAATAACATAACTTTACACATACAATATCTAAAATTTAGCACAGTGTGGCAGCAATATAGCATAATCTCTTCATTTTCATTACTATATCTGTTAAATTATTTATCCAGTTTAAATTGAGAAATCCGTAATGACAGTAGAACTTGATTTTTTTAGGCACAGAATAATAATTATAATAATTCAAATCCAACGAATGGACCTGCTCTTATTGAGGTAAAATATTGTACCATTGTACCAAATTTATATCATATTAACACTAAAAAGTGATGGTTATATACAGGGTGATCCAGTAACAATGAGAAAATCAAAAGCTGAAGATACTACACGTAAAATGGTAACCATTGGCGTAAACATGCCTTATCCGAAAGTTGATAGTTTTGAAAATACAGGGTGTTGAAAGTTAAAATTTTAAATCGTTTTTTTGCGATTATTCTGAAAATATGTAGGTTAGGAACTTGAAAATTTGTAAAACTATATTTTTTTAAGTGACGAATAAGATGCGTGTTGCAATGTCAGCATTGCTCATAGAGGGCACCACTTACGAGAAATTTTACCGAAAATTTAGTTAATAACTTTTTAAATTTTTTATGCCTAATATGAAACTTGATTCAAAACCTGAAAGAGCAATCATTTTTCCATTAATTATGTACTCTTGTTTCATTTCAGTATCTCGATCCGTTTTCGAGAAAAATCGATTTAACGAACACTATGTTTCGATAACATCAGAAATTAAAAGTGAAACAAACTAAGCGTTTCTTCATGTTATTACAACAATTAATGATAAAATAAATGAAAAACATAATAATGATTTAAAGTAATTGTTCGAGAAATCCATCGTAGACACTGATACTCTTTACTAGAGATGGGAAAATTCCCAAACTATGAAAATTCCTGGAAAGTTTCCATTGAAAATTCCAGAAATTTTCCGAAATTTTCCGAACTTTTTTTTTGGATTTGGTATTGCGTTCTACATACCATCAGCTTTCCAAAAAGACCAAATACTTATACATTTTTGTTTAAGTTGGTATAAATCTTTGAAAAATATAAATTATTAATCGTCGGTTAATAAAAATTACATGTTGCGGGTTGCAGTGTGCAAACACTATACAGTAGACAAAACTCTATTTATCTTTATTTTTTAACAAATAAATAGTAAATACATTAAATAATTATGCTAGTTTTAAAATGTAATTATACTTTGGTTCAACTATCAAAATTTATTTTAAATTTGAAAAGGGAGAGGCAATTTATGTCTTGTATTGCTCTCTGTATGTAGATTGTAAACTTAACAAAGATTAAAATAAGTAAGTGTAAGTATTTTCTGACTAATTTGGGTAATATGGTCTTCTGGTATTCTGAATTAACCAAATATCCGAAATTAACTAATGATTTTTTGAGGTTGTATTCACNATGAAACAAGAGTACATAATTAATGGAAAAATGATTGCTCTTTCAGGTTTTGAATCAAGTTTCATGTTAGACATACAGGGTAAAAAGGTATTAACTAAATTTTCGGTAAAATTGGTCGTAAGTGGCTCCCTCTATGAGCAACGCTGAAATTACAACACGCAGCTTATTCGTCGCTTAAAAAAATACAGTTTCACAAATTTTCAAGTTCCTAACCTACATATTTTCAGAATAATTGCAAAAAAAAAAAGATTTAAAATTTTAACTTTCAACACCCTGTATTTCCGAAACTATCAACTAATATAATGGGCACCATTTCACGTGTGGTATCTTGAGCTTTCGATTTTCCCATTGTTAATGAATCACCCTGTATATATTTGTCGTCTGAAAGTTTCACTGTTAATAAATTCTAAGTGTTGATATGATTTTTTGAATTGGTTTTGGGACTAAATTTATGGCCCAATATTAACTTGTCCTTGTTTCCATATTTAACATTTTTACTAACATTCTGTTCAGCATTGTCTTTCATCGTCATCTAGTCTTGCGTCATCTGTAATAGAGGAATACAGCAAAAAACTAAAGAATAAAAAGAGAAGGAAGAAGGTATCTACTGTATTCAATTGTATGCATGCTAGTGCCTGTTACTTTTAATATCACAGTAGAAATTGGGGTTGTTGGTTCGATTTTTATTTGTTTTTTTATTTAGGATATCATAGACGTATACGAATGCACTTAGTAGCACTCAATTCTTATATTACAAATATTTTGATGGTCTCGCGTCATATCTAGCAGAAATTTAAATAATTTGTTGAAAATATTGTGTTTTTGGTTACCAAAAAAAAAACTTGTCACAGCTGCCGGTAGACCATCAGAATTATTTCATTGGTCACATTTTTCACATATAGTATATTTGTTACACTTTTACATTGATAAGAAAATAGACATACTGCACCCCAAATTTATTTTTAAGGTCTCTTCCATTCGAAACGCCAACATTTGCTCAAATATGGGGTGTCAGTTTTTGTATTGTGATGGTAAAAGTTGCCATGGAAACTAGTCGCGGTAGCAAAATAAGAAGTTCTAGAAGTTAAAGGTATTTATTACAGCGAGTTTTGATTATGCTACAAATTAGGGCGTTATTGATGGGGTGAACCAACATGATAGGCGATAATCTAGAACAGCATCCATCACTTGAATATGCAAATTTCATGATTTATTAAAATAAATTGTTTTTGGGTATAAATTATTTTTAATTTTAAAATAGTTGGTCAACTCCAACAGGTGCATGAAAATAATTTCTATGAACTAACAGCCATCTATATTAAACACCTACTATGCTTGAACGTTACCACCTATACTACAAGGCTTCACATGATGCTCTTATGTTTGCTGACGTCAGTACTCGTTTTTAACTAATATAAGTCGATGCTCACGTTGTTTCTTTAATTTAATTATTTTTGAAACTGTTACAAGATTAAATATGTTGTAAAACATGATATAATTTAATTTAATTTCGGTGGATTAAATCTGATTGTAAATTTGAGGTTAGACGGGGGTATTGTGTAGTGCTGGTGTATTTTAATAGACATGTATATGTGGGTTAAGGAGCAGTATATACTATACAGTTATACCTGCTGTATATTGTGTCCAGGAAACATAAACCATGGATCTAAAGTCTCTGTTTTTAATTTCCCAAACGAATATTTAAGCAAGTTGTGGGTGTTAGCACGTTCATTTTGTCCTCTCAAAAATAATTTACATTCTCTCAAGACCATGTTGTTTGTTGTTTGCCGCATTACACAGAAAGATTCTAGATGTAATGTTTCAGTTTTAAAATTAAATTGTCTCATCTTAAAGCTTGTACAACATCTACCCAGTTTCCAAATTACCGTAAATATTTGTTAAAAACAGTACACAGCTGTATCAATTAATCAATTAAGGTTGAGACCAAAAAGAATTTAATCTGCATTACAATTCAGAATTCAATTTTCGCTAAATTGGATCCCATTCCTTACCATATCTCTTTGATTTAATGTTGTCAAAAGCATGTAATTCCTGAGTTTCATCCACCCCTGGGGTGTGAAACACATGCTTAACCCCCAAACTTGAAAAGTAACAAAAATTCATTACTCGTTAAGCCAGTCCGACTCCTTGCCATATCCCTTTCATTTAGAATCTACAAATTATTCCGCGAGTTTGGTACACCTCCAAGATGTGCAACACATCCATTACCTGCAAGTTCCCAAATGAGGAAAAAAGACAATTTTCATTTAGGTACACCATATTTTTTGCCAAATCTATCGATTTAATGTCTTCGAAGTAATCTCCTAATTTCGTTCGCCAACGACATGCAGAACACACCGTTTACTTGCATCCCCCAAACAAGAAAAATCAGAGTTTGTCCCCAGAGTGGCTAATCCAATGTCTTGCCACACTCTTTTCGTTTAATGTGCTTAAATTTTCACCCACTGTTGGATTTGCGGAATCTACTGTTTAACTGCAACACCAAAAAGTGAAAATTGGTCTCACCTCACGGAAATGTTAATTAAAAATTTTTTGATAAATACATACAGTGTAAACTCTTTTTAACGAATCTTAAGGGACCGGGGGTTATTTTTCGTTATAAAGAGCTTTTGTTATATGGAGGGAAGCAGGAAAAATAACCAAATTTCACCAATTAGGCCACATGTTATTAATCCAGTCGTTAGTTACATTCATATCGACATCTCGCTCCTCTCTGTTCATTTTACCATAGGTAATGTTATAACAGTGCTTAAATTTTCCGAGCCAACCTTCTGATGCCTTAAGGATGTTCGATACATCTCTTGCAGGGCAGGCGGTGTGGGAGGGAAGCCTATGTTTATACACGGTAGTTTTGTTGTAGTACCAACCGTACATAAACTAATTTGAGCGAACTAAATATAATATATATGAATGAAATTTATACAACACATATTAGCTTGCATATATTTTTCATGTTTAAAGCACGGCAATTAACTTTTTATTTGAATAAAAGTGTCCACAAAGGAAAAGTAATGACTGAAAAGTAATATAAAATGAGTGTAAAACAGAATGTGGATTGATGAGGAAAAAGTAAAATGTGCAAACCGAGAATCCGAGTTCAGTGAGACGTCACCTTGTCAAATCGAAGATTATGACAGAACATCTATACTGTCAGTTTTGTAAAGAGATGCTTTCAATATCTGTTTCAAATTGCTAGTATATTGCATTAGATCACGAAAAATTTATTTAATATTCATTATTACTACATATGTTTTCGACTGGAATAATTTTATAGTCTATAATCGAGCTATTCAAATATAGCGCGTCAGTCGAAGCGTTAAATACAGCGGACAGTATTGTCGTATTTCCTTTCATTGGATCAGATGTTCGATCAAATTTGTCAAAACGTTATATATTCATTCCATTATCTCAATAATTACATTGTAAGTGCATATTTTTATTGTTTTAAAATGTTTAGTAATATTTAATTCTTTAATTGCAATGTTATTTTCCCGATCCTAACCATTTTTAAGAGCAATATTCACGTTTGATTAAAGTTTTTTTCCCAACTCCCATAAGAGCCTGTGTATAAGGGCATAATTTTTAATACCATTTTTCAAAAAAACTACATTGGCAATCGATCTGATATTTTTACACGAGGCAATTTGCATATTTATTAACAGATTTCAATTGCTTTGAAAACTTTACCATTTTTTTTCGGTATCGAACCTCCTTAAAGTCAGTAATGCCTAGTTGTTCGGCAAACTCTTAGCCTTGGCTTTAACAATTGTCCCCGAGATGGGTACATTATTCTGGCGTTGATTGTTAAACCACGACAACATTGCTTGATCTAAGTCTTCGAATTTTGGCTTCCTTAATTTTTTAGTAGACTCTCCCTGCAGTTTTGCCTGTAGAATTGCTTCTTTGTTTTTCCAAATGGTAGCAACAGTAGATGGACTAGGCCTAAACGTCTTCCAACATCACTTTTCTATTCTCCTTTTTCTATCTCGCGTATCAAACTTTTTCGTTAACACATAATTTTTTTTTCTTTTACTGGCCATCTACAGTTTCAAAATTGGTTTAAGACTGATAATACGCAATAGGTGCCTAGTGCGTTTAGTAACTGAGATCAAGATTTCCTAGAAGCAATGTAATACAAGAGTAATGACACATCTGTTTGAGGCAATTAACAATAACAAAAGTAAGGCAGTTGTATACGACTTTAGGGGGTCTTTTTTAGAAATGTCGGCACCTTAAAAATTTAGTCGGAACCTTTTGCAAGCTGATTATAAAAACAATTACACTATTAAATACTTCTGTAAATATTTGCTGGCGTCTAAATATGAACATATTTCTCCGTAATAGAAAATGGCTGTTGCGCTATGAAGAGTGTATTAATGTATGGGTTTTGACGTAAACGAACCAAATTGACCTAATTTCTATGTTATAGGAAAGTTTTCATTATAATGAACGACATTATAAAGAGTTTACACTGTATTGCCAAACTTTGATGAACTGGAACTACTGGTATAATTTTAGCCCAATTTTTTTTTACAATCAGTCCACATTCTTATAGGTTTTTAAGACATTCAGGATTCAAAATGATCATATACTTTAGCTATGACTTAAAATATATCTTACATTGCTCTTATTTCATTGAATTTTAAAATATAAATTCATACTGCATTGTTTGTTTTACCGCTGACGTGACATCATACACAAAGCATAGAGGCCTTGTTAATCTAGATGGTAATGGACTTGGGGTTTTATTTCATTATTGAGTGAATGTAAATACATTTTTGCTTTAATAATCACGATTTCTGAACGATTAGTTGTCAATTTTGTATCTGGTCAGTATCATGTTGAATGACGTTTTTGATATGTACTTACTGTTTTGCAATTTTTCACGTAAATTCATATTAATAACAGGGTTCAAATCAGGGAGATTAGACAAGGAGCATGAACTCACATGGGAAAATTGACGACAAAATTTATCAACGTAATGGTAAAATTTACTTATAGTTTTTACCGCTAGAGTCGCTAGTGTTCCTTGTACACCGACATATTTTCATTATTTATTGATTTATTTATATAATTCCAAGTAGCCTACATTATTTATTTTAAAGTTTTTAACATATCACAAAAACGGCATGATTGATTTTAATTCAAACTGCCGCTTTCTTTATCTCCCCTCCACTATGTCGGTGCATATGGGATACTAGTGCTCTCTAATTTGTTAAGATATTTGTTTACATGGAGTTCGTGCTTCTTGTGTAGTCTTCATAGTTCAAATACTCAACTGTTAAGTGTAACCTTATGATGGTATCTGTGTTTTCTTCAGATTTCTGATTTATAAATATTATTATAATTTATTTTAAAAAATAGTAGATTATAAACAGTAAACAAATCGATAAGGTAAAATAAATAGTTTTGTAATAATGATTCCTTGATCATGGACAAAATGTTTATACATAAGTCCAAAAAGATGTGGTTATGTTGAAGATGCACAACTTAAACAGAAACAGAAAGCGGTATATTTTTGAAATAGATATTATAAAAATTTTTCTGCATAAAAACAGTAAGTAGATTTCAAAAATGCGATAAAAACTATGGAATTCCATTTAATATAACACAGTTAATGTCAATTTCTGGAAGTTCTAGAACTTTTATTACTTATATTTTGCTTATGTAGGCCCCTCCGATATTAAAAACAATTATTATATTTTTTTACAACTACTGCTTTTCTCTATATAGGGTGTCAAGTAAAAAAGCATATTAGATGAACCTTGGTCTAGTATGTTTATTTGTTATAATTTGCAATCATTATTATATAGTTAACTCCAAAGTCTAAGATAATACAAATATTTTACAAGAGATTTTTTAGTGTACAGCAACATTAAAAAAAATTGTAGGTGCAGAAGGTATGCCTTATGTTTAGACTGACTCCCCCCTGTATACACAGCACTAGTAATTGAAACACAGGATTACTAGTATGATTTTGCAAGTACTGAATATTATTATAACGATTTGTCAAATTATCATTCCTGAAATCTAAAAAAATTGATTTTTTTCTAAATGATCTTAAGTAGT